TGAAAATAATTACATTAATAGTCAGGGTCACTCTGAACAGGAATCCAATGAACAAATGAGCAAACCTATGAAGGAACACTTTTTATGAGTGTTTGAACATGGGACATGGTGTAAGTGATAGAATGCAGTTTGATGATTGGGGTGAGTTTGCCTTTACTCTTCTCCAAAACTATACAGTAAAATTACCTGAAAATAATTACAGTAATAGTCAGGGTCACTCTGAACAGGAATCCAATGAGCAAATGAGCAAACCTATGAAGGAACAGTTTTTATGAGTGTTTGAACATGGGACATGGTTTAAGTGCTACAATGCAGTTTGATGATTGGGGTGAGTTTGCCTTTACTTTTCTCCAAAACTGTACAGTAAAATTACTTGATAATAAATACAGTAATAGTCAGAGTCACTCTGAACAGGAATCAAATGAATGAATGAGCAAACCTATGAAGGAACAGTTTTTATGAGTGTTTGAACATGGGACATGGTGTAAGTGCTAGAATGCAGTTTGATGATTGGGGTGAGTTTGCCTTTACTCTTCTCCTAAACTATACAGTAAAATTACCTGAAAATAATTACAGTAATAGTCAGGGTCACTCTGAACAGGAATCCAATGAATAAATGAGCAAACCTATGAAGGAACACTTTTTATGAGTGTTTGAACATGGGACATGGTGTAAGTGCTACAATGCAGTTTGATGATTGGGGTGAGTTTGCCTTTACTTTTCTCCAAAACTATACAGTAAAATTACTTGATAATAAATACAGTAATATTCAGAGTCACTCTGAACAGGAATGAAATGAATGAATGAGCAAACCTATGAAGGAACACTTTTTATGAGTGTTTGAACATGGGACATGGTGTAAGTGCTACAATGCAGTTTGATGATTGGGGTGAGTTTGCCTTTACTTTTCTCCAAAACTATAGAGTAAAATGACTTGATAATAAATACAGTAATAGTCAGAGTCACTCTGAACAGGAATCAAATGAATGAATGAGCAAACCTATGAAGGAACACTTTTTATGAGTGTTTGAACATGAGACATAGTGTTAAGTGATAGAATGCACTAGTGACTGAGTTTGCCTTTACTTTTCTCCAAAACTATACAGTAAAATTACCTGAAAATAATTACAGTAATAGTCAGGGTCACTCTGAACAGGAATCCAATGAACGAATGAGCAAACCTATGAAGGAACACTTTTTATGAGTGTTTGAACATGGGACATGGTGTAAGTGATAGAATGCAGTTTGATGATTGGGGTGAGTTTGCCTTTACTCTTCTCCAAAACTATAAAGTAAAATTACCTGAAAATAATTACAGTAATAGTCAGTGTCACTCTGAACAGGAATCCAATGAATAAATGAGCAAACCTATGAAGGAACACTTTTTATGAGTGTTTGAACATGGGACATGGTGTAAGTGCTACAATGCAGTTTGATGATTGGGGTGAGTTTGCCTTTACTCTTCTCCAAAACTATACAGTAAAATTACCTGAAAATAATTACAGTAATAGTCAGGGTCACTCTGAACAGGAATCAAATGAAAGAATGGGCAAACCTATGAAGGAACACTGTTTATGAGTGTTGGAATATATGACATGGTGTAAAGTGCTATAATGCACTTTGATGGATGGGGTTGAGTTTGCCTTTACTTTTCTCCAAAACTATACAGTAACATGACTTGAAAATAAATACAGTAATAGCCAGGGTCACTCTGAACAGGAATCAAATGAAAGAATGAGCAAACCTATGAAGGAACACTTTTTATGAGTGTTTGAATATGGGACATGGTGTAAGTGCTAGAAGTTGAAGTAAAATGGCAAAACTCCCATTATATATAAAATGTATATGTGTGTGTTTGTGTGTGCGTGTGTGTGTGTGTGTGTGTTTTGAGTATCATATTTCATACTTCAGGTATGAATGTATATTTCATAGATTGTATAAAGGTGTTTATAGCTTATATATGCAATTCAATTATAATTGACAGATTAAAAGCCACCAAAAGCCTGTTGTATTCATTTGCCATTTATTTGCCAAATATTTGCCATTAACATTAACAAAAAAAATGTAAGAAAATAAATAAATAAACATTAATACATTATGTATAATAATTAATGTATACTTTATATAAAAACATTAAAATCAACAATAAAAATGCAATATAAATGTATGATAATTAACATTAATATTACATTTCATTAAAGTTAATAAAGTACAATAATGTATTTTATATATATATATATATATATATATATATATATATATATATATATATATATATATATATATAAACATTCAAATTAACAATAAAAATGTAAAAAAAAAAATGATGTATGATAATTAGCATTAATATGAAAATGAATAAGTTGTGTAATAATTAATGAATCACATATAGGGCTACAAACATTAAAATAATAATAAAAAAGTAATGTTTTTTTAAATCATAAAACTGTATTATTTGTGTCCTAATGAGATGGAAAATAGCAGAAAATAGTGTCTAAAAAAACATTAAAATTAACAATAAAATGTAAAAATGATTCATGTTAATTGATATTACTATGAACATGAATATATTATGTAATAATTAATGTAACTCATAGGCCTACACACTTTATAATAATAATAAAACAGTCATGCTTTTTAAAAAAAATCATGAAAATGTATTATTTGTGTCCTAATAAAATGTAAAATAGCGGAAAATAGAGTCTTAAAAACAATTTTGACCGCTTCCAGCACCCATACCGTAAGTACACGATTAGACGCGGATACTAAAAAAAAATGTGCGGCTGGCTTGACCGTGTATTTTCAACGCGCGGCCCACTTGACCGCAGTAGACGAGAAGCCCGGACTGGCTCGAGCTGGGCGGACTGCTGGTGCCTACATGTCGTGCTCTCGGCTCTCGCTGTGCGCTACGGACACAGATAGAGTCCGTCTGCTGCAGAGAATTTCAACGATCGCAATATCACCTGGACGAAACCTCTGAATCAGACGAGCACACGGACGTTTGTGTTGTGATCCATCCAAGTTTCGCACCGCATATGTTCTGACTGAACATCCAGGTAACTTTATCATCATCATGCAATAATTCACCATATAGAAAGAAATACAAACGAGGAGTAATTCACTAATGAGTTTGCCAATGTAACGGGGTTCGTTGTTGTGGGAAGAATGAGGCGGGAACCGGCAAACATTTAAACATTTTAATAGTAAAATAAACAAATACAAAACAAAAATATAAGCGAGCAGCCCCTCACTGCTGGCCACACACAACAGAAACAAAACACAACATAAAATCAGGCCTGTTCCTCTCTCGATCTGCCCTGTCGTCGCTCCTCGTTTTATGCGTCCGCTCCTCGGTGAGAGACGCGAGAGAGACCGGTGCGTCTCACAGCTGTCGTTCATTATCACTCGCGCCACCGGCCTCGCGCTGTCCTATCACATCCCTCGCCCTCGTCCTGCTCGCCACAGCCAACTAACTAGAAATTTTGTGTGAAATGAATTTCTAACTCTGGTGGCAGCTAACGTTAGCCTTGTAGACGGAAAAGTGATTTCTCTGATGTTTGCGCTGTTCTGGATTAGTGGGAGTGGCTTGCGGAGCTGTGCAATGTGGTGCATTGTGGGAGTTGTTGTCTTGCATACAAATGCGCACTAAAGTTATTTTCTGTCTTTTCTCGGTCAAGAGGGCATCAAATTCAAAATTTCTTTTACATTTCGACTACATATATGACCCACTTTCAATAAAGATTAATGTTGAAATGGGTGAAGTGACCCTTTAATAATGCATTTATTTCACATTTAATTAATCATGCCCTCTGACCTGTGAGTACATAGCATAAAAAATTGCATACGAATTTGCAGTGTCCTTGTTACCAGCCCGTTCTCATCCCAAGGCGTCATCTAACTGACGCTTTTGACCATGCGTCAACATGCCGACGCACATGGCACCCTTTAGCGTCAATATGAGACGCGCCTCCTAGTGGTCTAACCCTAACCCTACCCCAAACCTAAACCTACCCATAACGGAAGCGTCATCTAACTGACGCTAAAGGGTGCCATGTGCGTCGGATTTAGACGCATGGTCAAAAGCGTCAGTTAGATGATGCCCGGGGATGAGCGTCTCATATTGACGCTTAAAGGGTACCATGTGCGTCGGCATGTTGACGCATGGTCAAAAGTGTCAGTTAGATGACGCCTTGGGATGAGAATGTGTTGTTGTTACATATGTTGCATGCTTACCATAGTAATAAAAGTAAATTATCCATAATTACATGCAACTAACCCTCAACCAAATCCTAATCCTACCCTAACCCTATAGTAAGTACATGTAGTTGCGGTAACACTTCCTTTTACAGTACAGTACTTACGTGTACTTACCTAGAAAGTACTGGCTAATATAAGGTAAGTACATGGGTTAGGGGTAGGTTTAGGGGTAGGTTCAGGGTTAGTACCTAGTTATTGCCCAGTAATTGTAATTACTATAATAAGTACATAGTATGTACATGGGTAACAGGACTGTAAAAGGAAGCTTTACCGTAGTTGCTTAATATTACTTAAATGTATAATTACACTGTAACAATGACATCTTAAAATAAAGTGTAAACGAAATGTTCACTTTTTTCCAAGTCTAACAGCTAAGTAACTAGTTAACTAGCAATAGTAACTAGCACGTGACAAAACTAAACGCCAAAGACATATCTGAACATCAAGAAATGTCAGACTCAATGCAAAGTCTGCCTTGAACAGATAACAAGTTGACATGAGTAATGTTCAATGATATGGATATATACCATCTAAAGCCAATTTTTAAATTTCTATTACATTTTTTATGCAACAATGTATTTGAATTATCTTCATGGGGGCTTCCTTTAAATATTGATATGCCATTCATTTTTATTTAATTAATCGGCATATCATGTTATTAATCAGTTGACTGCCCTACACGCAACATGTTAACTTCAGCACTGAACCCTGGTTAATGTGGAATGGGGCTTGTTCATCTCGACCCCATCCGTCATTCCCATAAAGCTCCGCATTGTCTCGGCACACTGTGTGTTTGGTGAGGCCTCTCCGTTGAAGCTTTAACCTCTACAGATGAAGATAAGGCACAGTCCCTGACACCTGTGAAAAGCATAAAATGTTAAAACACGGTTAGTCCCACCCACTCCTTCATAAATAACCCATAGGTGAATAGGTGAGCTTTGATGTATCGCTTAATATTTACTCTCCTGATTTGGTATTCGCAGCGTCCTTCGAGGCTTAACATATATGGCGGATCAAAACATTGCAGGCAGATTTATCCCAAACACCTGCGACTGCAAGGTCACAGAACTCATTTTGTGAGTGGCATGACTACTTGCCTATTAGTGCAGGCCGTGTCTGCTAAACAAATCTATTTGTGAGATTGTACAGTATTGCTAAAGGGCATTTCTGAATTAAATGTAATCAGCTTTACTAGGCTGTGTTCATTTATTAGTAATGTGCTTAAAGCAGATTAGTGGGCTCAGCCATTTTTAATGATTTATTTTGCTGCTGCGATCTGACAGATTTTCCTCTATTCTTGAAAAAAAAGGGCATTTCCCAATTAGAATACATGCCTCCCTCTCGACGCTTCCATGGTTTAATCTATTGTTCAATACGACGTAATGGGAATTATGATCTCCATTAATTGAAATGGATTCCTCTAATAAAGACTTAGTAGGAATTTTTAATCATATTTAAGGAATAACTATGCCATTTTATTCCATGTGTAATTTATTAAATACTCTTCCATATGGATTTACATTTATCCACATGAGCGAACAACAGCCTAATCGTTACATGTGTGTTAGCCAGCCCTTGGCCATGACTTTGGGTCACATGACTCACAATGACCGCCCATCCGTTTGCTTTCTCTCTAGTGTGGTATGTGTTGGGGGAGATGGCTCTGTGGCTGAGGTGGCCCACGGGTTGCTTCTCCGAGCCCAGATGGACGCTGGGAGGGACACAGATTCCATCTTCACGCCTGTCCAAGCAGCACTTCCTCTCGGCATAATACCAGCAGGTGAGGATCAGGGGTGGTGTATCTCTTTCTCCTGCAGCTGTCCCCAGTACAGCCAACGTCCAGCTCCTCTCAGGAGAGTGAATGCGAATGAGCGTTCAGTCCTCGCTGAGTCAACATGAATTCAAAATTGACCCAATTTACTTGACCCAATTTACTATTATACACGTTTCTGGTCTTACTGTGCACAATTCATCCCGTGCACATTATTGTTAACTTATATCAACACATAATTCCGGCTTATTCCGGGCGATGTTACAAATGTAACTCTTTAACCCCTCCCCTCAAACCACATGGGTCCATTCTAGTATGCAACACCCACTTTCCACAAAACAATAAATGATTACCAATGGTTATTCTTGTTGTGCATCTTATTTCACACAGAAGTACATCAGATTATGCAAGTGAAATTGCTTCCAAGCTATATATGTATGGAAATAAATGTATTATTTGTGGAAAGTGTGTGCTACATACTAGAATGGAGCCAGGTGGTTTGAAGGGAGGGGCTGAAGAGTTATTTGTGATGACATCATCCGGAAAAAGCAGGATATATGTTGATCTAATTAATATATAATAATAATTATATAATATGCAATTGAAATAATATTATTATATATATATTATTATAATTACTATTATTAGTTTAATTATATTATATTAATTCGTTTATACTATATTAGTTCAAAACCACTTTTACTTACATAATCTGTCAAATTATTATATTTTAATAAAGAAATAAAAAACGGGGGAATTTTATATATATATATATATATATATATATATATATATATATATATATATATATATATATATATATTATTAGTTTAAAAATTAAAAAAAAATTAATGTAACAATAATAATAATATATTAATATATTAAATAATTATAATATATTAATATATTAAATAATAATAATTATTGTTATATAGAAAGTTTCTGGTCTTACTGTATATAAATTTACTTTAATTACACATTTTATATTATTTGCATATTTATATTATTACTTTGAAAGCACACACACACGCGCCACAATACCGTTTTGACTCCATGAGGTAAGAGAAGAAACTGAAATAAAACTTATATAATATAATTGATAATCACGGCATGTCTAAATGTGACTAGTAGTAAAATATGATAATGTATAGTAATAGTCTTGTGGGTAAACCATGCAACTTTTTATGCTTCATTCCTGCACTAAAACAATCAGAGGCGTGCTGCCAATTAAAAATCAAACCCTGTAGTAATTTCGGTTTCTAGTTTCTGTGCTGTCAGAATGATTTAGTTTGATTGTGTTTTGAAACTCCTCTAGCGAAAACAAACAGGCAGCTCATAACAGCAGCAAGCGAGTGTATCATTATCAAATTGATTTAATCACAGTCAGGCCTCTGAATGGCCCACTCGCACACTGAGTTAATTGCCTTCAAGAGTGTCTGAAATGGAGCATCCTCGATTTGCCTTTGAAACGGGCTCCACTGGCCTTGGATCAGCGGCCCTAAGCCCTGCGTATTGTCCAGGACTGACTAAGCTCAGATATTTACCTCTCTTTTTGTGGGATTGTGGCACAAACCAACCCCAAAGAGCTGCCAAACCGGGGCGGGAAGAGGAGGGGAGAGCAGAATAGATTGGTACGATAGCGGCCCCTACTTTTCCTTCCAAGAGATTGACCTTCACTTGTCATTTCGGGCGCAGCAAAATGGAGTGCTGTTGTTAGGAGCAATGGAAGCCCTCCAACTCCGCACCCGCTGCAAACTGACCGTACCGGGGTCATGGTTTCTCTTCATTAGTACCGAATCCCACGGGAGAATTTGTAAACAGTTTCCAGTCACAAATGCGAAGGGGAAAAAACGACCCCCGCGTTTGTCGTTTCCCTGCACAGGTTTGGATGTGTCATTTGGTGTGACATCAGACCCAGGTCAATCCTTGGGGACGGAGGAAATGGAGTCGAATCACTCTCTTTGTTACAGCCATGCAAAAACACCCATGTACTGCGCCAACTACAGTGATTTACTGCGAGTAATTACCAATAAAATATACATGAAATGCCCTCGCATAGCAGCTACATTGACATCTAATTATCTTAGCTGGAAAACAGACTAGTTTCTTTAACGCTTTAATTTGTCATTTTTTATGCTCCTTTCTGTCAATATTCATAGTACAGTCAAGTTGAACAAACATTCAAGTTTTTCGGAAGATAAAACTAATTACAAAGAGCGTTTCAAATACCTTATTTACATGATGCAGGATAAACATTGAGAAATGTGAGCCCTGCCCAATTAAAGGCTTTCTCTATGCACCATCGTATATACTCATCGGTACGTATGGCATATAAATTGCAGGCTTCTAATTAATTTGCCTGCTTTTAAGGGTTTCAGGGGGACTGTTAATTTCTTTGATATTCCAGGCAAAGAACCAAAATGTTGGTGCACTTTCCACAAGACTCTTAGACATGCTTGACTAGCGAGTCATTGCATCACATTCATCTGCCTGGATGAGGGAGACATTAACTGCCTTATGAATATTCATGCTGTCTGCTTAATTAAGTTAATTGTTCTGCAGAAGTGCTCGCACTTCCAAGGACAATTTTTTTTCTCTCCCTCTCTCTCTCTCGCTCTTTCAAAGCCCCTTTCCTTCCTATTCGCCCCCCTACTCTAATATCTGGGCGCTAGCACCATTCGTCACCAGGTTCTGGAATGGAGATGGGTAATATATGGAACTCCCGATGATGTTGGCACAGGCTGTTGCTCTGAGCCTTGCGGGAGAGGCAGATGCACGCTTGAAATATAGAGTTACCGCACGGCAGCGGCACTGCAGACACCACCGAACAACAAAAGAACAAAACGATCAATGTCAAACACCATTGTCTGACGTATACAGCGTTGAACGACAACACTTTGGCGAACCTCAAGTGGGCTTTACCAGATCGGTGTAATAAATGGTAATTTTAGCATTCAGATAATGAGATTTTAATATCACACTCACTAAGACTAAGTAACTGCATTCATTATATTTCTTTTAATTGGCGGTAGGCCAAGCACTCCTTATATTACGGTTTCTCACAAGCCTTGCACCAGAATGTATCCCTGTAGGACTCACTTTGCTATATCACAGCAAAGCCACAGCTTGCCGTTTATGACAGGGAGCGAGTCGGCCCTGTTCCAAATCCTAGCGAGCTGCCTACGTAGACAGTATTTTAAGGCATCAAATGCACACTCCTGATGGGAAGGCTGTTTCAAAAGGACAGATACTGTAAGATCTTTTGGCCAAATTCTAAAGCATCATCACATAAATACTTTGCTGAGAAGGCAAACCCATAATGCATTGCGATGAACTGGGGAAAAAAGGCGAACAGAGTGAGAGAAATGTCTCAGAAATTGTATTGAAATATATTTAAAATTCTATTTAAGTTTATTAAATTATTATTTTATGCGTTTTGCAATTTTATTAGCCGTGTGCTGTCTTCAATTTTATTTGAGTTAGAGCCAAGCACATATATACATTTAAATAATTAAAAAAACATCTGATTACTAAAGTAAACAAAATGATTAAAATGGCTATCCCGACTAGCTACAGTATAGCAAGGCAGCTCTCTGGTTTTTGGAACTCAGTCCGTCAGACGCTGTTACCTTTACTGAGCTGAGGCTCAGAGCCTGGCTTTTGTGTTGAAATCATCACAACATATGGAAACTCCCAGAGAGGCCAGGAAGCATCATGGATGTGTGTGTGAGGGAGTGACCTGGTAGGTGGGAAGAGGCACATTTACTTGCAGCCAAATTCACTTGGAGTGCGAGTGTGTGTCCAGCACTGTAGGCCTGGCCGTCTCATCATCAGAAAGGGAGGGAACGATTTCATCCAACACCTCCGTCCTGTTCTCATTTACAGACATTTGCTTTCATACCCTGTTGATCTGAGCAAACACACTGGCCAGATAACTGCATGAAAGGAAATGCCTACTCACCCGACAAGGACAAGCCATTCTCTGCTGTTTGTCTCTGCTAGTAATCAGTACAAATACACACACCTGTTCTCCCTTCGCAAGCTGCCAGCAAGGTAAACCGCCTTAATTGGCACAAGGTGATATTAACTTAAATTAATGCCCTTTAACAAAGTCCTCATCCTGTAATGATTAACTTTACCTCACTCATTAGATGGGCGAAGCTGCTGCTGTTTTTAAATCAATGCTGCATCACAACTCACACACTCAAGTTGTTCCAAACCTGTATGATTTTTTTTTTCTTCTGCTGAACATGAAAGAAGATATTTTGAAGAATATGGGTAACCACACAGTTGATGGACCCTATTGACTTCTATAGAATTTTTTTTCCCATTTGGTTACCCATATTCTTCAAAATATCTTCTTTCATGTTCAGCAGAATAAATAAATTCATACAGGTTTGGAACATAAATTCATAAAGGATAAGTAAAATGATGACAGAATTTTAAATTTTGCGTGAACTATCCCTTTAAATGAACAGTTCACTCAAAAATTTTACTCACCACCAAGTTGTTCCAAGTTGTTCCAAATCCATATGCTGTGTGGAACACAAAAAGAAAATGGCAGATTTTTCTTTTCATGACAAAAAAAATGGGCTATATTCCAAGTCTTCTGAAGCCATTTGATAACTTTGTGTTATATAATATAATATACAATTTTTTTCCATTTGAATTTTGGGGGAAATATGACCATTTCTTGACAGTTTTTGTAAGATTCACCCTAATAGTTTTCACAACTCCGAGTGCTATGAAGTTACTTTGCAGTATTCTCATAACAGAAGCATAGGCTGTCTGACTACACACTTCCCTGAAGTACATAGTTTTAGTAGAGTATAGATACATTTAATAGAAAAAAGCTGAAATCTATGTTCTAACGTGCTAAAGAAATAAAAAATGTGCATAATTGGAGCATATGAAGTGCATAGATTATTGAAGACTTACAGTGAGCCGTGATTGGTCGAATAGAAATTGAATGGAAAAGTTCTCGTTCTGACTTCTGTAGCAGGTGCTTGAGAACATTGATATGCAGGGGAGAGAGTCTACTATAATAAAGCAAAGCTAAATTTTTTCACGTTTCTGTAGCCACTCTTAATGGAATCTCATCACTCACTGAGAGTAAACAGTGTCTGTGCAGAGATACACACTATAGCAAACATCATGGGACCATATGCCACAGCATTCAGATGGTCTCATAGCATCAGCATCAGCGTGTGTCTAACGAGAAAAAGCTTTATCACAAAATCACCTGTGCAGAGAATAGAATTGATCCAAATAGAGAGGCTTGCTTGTTTATGAAATGCATGAGTCCATTTAAAGGAACAATTCACCCAATTCCGTATACTGTGTCTATTGAAAAATAGGCTACTGATAATTCTTAATGCAAGTGTATTTCTAACCATGACTCAAGCTCATGAGGTTTTTTTTTTTTTTTTTTTAAATGCATGTAAATATTCTTTATATTGTCTTAATGTTTCTAAAATCCAAGTCATCTGAAGCCATATGATAACTTTGTGTGACAAACAGACCAAAATTTATTTCATTGTTCACTGATAATCAAACAAAGCTATCGCATGGATTCAGAAGACAATATAGTGAATTTTATGTTGTATTTTTAGAAACATTAAGACGATTTTGAAAATATTTTAATGACAATTATGCAGAAATACCTCATTCAGTATAATATAATATGATTGTATTCATTTTATGACATGCAGTAGTGATCATACAAGTTCGATTACACCATCAAAATATGAGGAAAATGTTTTATATATTTTAAATATGAGAGAAGAACAAAAGACTAAACTTGGTTAAGGTATTTTGCCAAGTTATTTGGCAAAAAGGCAAACTAAAACTATAGGTTTTATTTTACAATGCAAAAAAGGCATAGAAAAACAAAAAGCTGACACTGACATAATCAGTTATTCATATTTTAATGGTTCCCTCTTGTTTTTGTATGTGCTCATAATTTCTTTGTATGATAGGATAGCCAAGCCAAAAAACTATGTCCACACACTTTGCCATGTTTCATTGTGTTATTGCAAACCAAGCAACAACTACGCAATGTGTTTACAAAATATTCAACAATTATTTTTGTATAATATTTGAATAAAGGGTGAAGAGAAAGTGTCAATTTTCTTGGCCGGACACCACTTTTTACCACTGATGTATATAAGATAATATTTGTTTATAATATAAAAATAGTTTTCTTTTGATTTTGGGGGAAAATATAACCATTTCTTGTCAGTTTTTGTCAAATTCACCCTATTGCCCACAACTCCTGAAGTTTGTCTCATGTTCTTGATTCCAAGTCTTCTGAAGCCATGCGATAACTTTGTGTGACAATAAACAGACCAACATTTATGACATTGTTATCTGGCTTAAGACTTGGAATATAGCGCATATTATGTCACATTTTTAGGATCATTAAGACAATGTTGTAAGTACATTTTTGGTTATTTGAGTGTGTTTTTTTGGAGCTTGATCACTAACCATTGCTTAAAGAGTGTTAAAATGTGTGTAATTCTCCTTCCATAGGTTCTACTGACGTGGTGGCGTGCTCTGTGCATGGAATAAGACGCGCTGTGACTGCGACCTTGCACATCATCATGGGTATTTATCTCAGTTTCTTTCTCTCCTTCACGCATGAGCTTCTAGTGATTCTCTAGCCTTACAGCTGCCTGTACGCTAACAGTAAGGCCTCGAGGAACCACGGGACTTAATGGAGCACAAATATACATGATAATAACATGTAAATGGGATTCGTATTTACTTTTCAATTCCACTGAGTTATGCGTGCAGGGGCAATGGTTTCATTTTTTCACCCTTTGGAAGTCTCTCTCTCTCTCTTTTTCGTGTAGCAATGGCGGAGCGTGTGGTGGTTCTCTGTAATCTGTTGTTTAATTAGAGTGCACAGGCTGTTGTTATGGGGGCCGAGAGACGGCAAACCCCCCACGCGGGCTCTGCCTCTCCAGCTTTGGAGATCATGGTTAACAGGTCCCATGGAACGAGAGACGGTCCCGGGAGAGGTAGAGATACGTCTGTCGTCAATCACCCGTACGGTCCCGCCACGTACGCCGAGCTTCTTTGACGTGGCTGTGGGCCGTCGTTGGAAGTGTTACTTCTGGCTGGCAGTGTTCGCTTTGGCTTTAGGATTGCATGTTCCTATCTGTCTGTCTGTCTGTGAAGCGTTTTTGAAGTTAGCACCAATATGTCTGGGCCATTGTGTCGACTGTGCAAGCTCTCCTGGGCTTAGCTTAACAGACAAGCGGATTTGGCTTGTCAGGGGATTACACGCACAAGCTAAGCTCACGTCCTCCAAAAAAAGAGAAAGAACACATACTGGCAAAAATGTCGCTTTATAGCTGAATTACAATTGGGATGAACAATCAGAACTGCACAAAAGAATTACCGAATTCAGTTGAGTTCAATTTAATTAGGTTCTTTGTTGTTACTTCATTATTGTTCTATGTGGATTACTGAAAATGTTTAATTTGGTGATATTTTGTTTTCCATTCACAGGCTTCATAGATAGTTCCTGGTTGGGTTAAAGCAATAGTTCACTCAAGAATTACATGGACATTGAACATCATGTCATTATTTACTCACCCTCATGTCACTCCAGAATGCTGTACACTTTTATTCATGGAGAAGACAAAAAAAGTATTTTTAGGGATTGTTTGGGGGGGAATCTTCATAGTTATTTTCCATTGGCAATCAGGCTTAAAAATATATATACAAAAAAACAGCATATAAAGCACCATAAAAGTAGTCCAAATGGCTCATGCATGATATTCTAAGTCTTACAAAGTCATACTATAGCTTTGTGTGAAGAAAAAACTAAATATAAATAAATTATAGTTCCACCTAAAAATAAAAATGCTGTCATCATTTACTCAGCCTCATGTCATTCCAGAATACTGCATATTTTTTTACTAATAAGACCAAATGGGACTTTTTATGGAATCTTCAGTTATTGTCCAGTGTTTGGGACAATAACTAACTTGAGTTAAGTAACTCAAGTTATGTAATCAGATTACTTTTTTCAAGTAACTAGTAAGTAACTTTTTTATATAAGTACCGCAAGTTACTTTGTTTTCCCATTTACTGACTGAGAGCTCTCCAGTCCCAATGTTCAGAAAAATCGTGCAGAGGCGTTGTGTGTAAACATGATGGTTATTGTAGTTCTAGACTAAATGTGAGCATACCTTTACTAATCTCACTTGCACAAAAAAAAGATTTAGTATTCCTCAAAATTAATAAAATCAGTGAAATTCTAAATCAGAATACTGCGCAAACCTTCAATAATTAAAAAATGTTAAATAAAACAAATATTTTTATGCATTTAATCTCATTTTATTGACCAATGTACTGACCTTCAATGATTCAGTTAAACTATAAGCAAAAATTACTTTAGATTTTTTGTTTTTATTGGTGAAGTTGAAAAGTTAGTTTGAGCTGCGCCCTCTACTCGTGAATTTGCATTTCCTTCGTCCTTATTATTTCAATTTTGGTGTGAAAGGGCCTTTACATTTGCCCCAAAAACAAAGAAAACAAAAACAATCCCTGCCCAGGTGAGAAAATGTAATGCAAAAGTAACATAACGCATTACTTTTCTTAAAAAGTAACTAAGTAACGCAATGAGTTACTTTTTAAGGGAGTAACGAAAAATTGTAGGTCATTACTTTTCAAAGTAACTTTCCCCAATAGTGTTCTTTTCCGTCATATAATTAGTCCATATAACTGGTGCACACTGCCGTGCAAAGGCAAAAGACCGTAACTTCGTGTTTGGTCGAAAATTAGTTTTTTATATTTTTGGCACATTCAAGACCCCCTTTATCATGTGGATAAGTATCTTGAGTCAATTCCGTCGTTTTTTCGAGAAAATAATGGGTTGTCTTAACAGTAACTTCCAAAAGCCCGTGAGAAACCAAGGCAGAACACCAGTTACCGCTCTTTGGCTTTGTTTTGGAACGCTCATTTTGAGTTACGGTACTCTGCCTTTGTTTAGCCGCGCGTCAATATGAAGTTACGGTGCTGGCGTTCTATCAAATATGCTACCTTTCAGGTTGTACGGTGTTCTGCCTTTGTTTTGCTCTCCATTAAAATCTCCGAAATTACGATGTAGCCTGTGTACTTTGTACAGCTGCCATCAGTCCCTGTAACTTCTGATGTCCTCAGAGCTTTGTCCAGCACAAATGCGGTCAGAACATTTAGTATGGTCTGAACCCGCTCCATATGAAAAACGTGCGATAGGCTATCCATCGCGAATGATATATGCAGAGTTGACAGAAAAAAATGTTACACACGCCGTAGCAGGTGAATACAACAAAGAACTAAATCCCCGCCTCACCCAGATCGGGTTGAAACAATCATGCATCTAGCTGGCAGAGTGCCAAAACTTCGCCGGCGCCTTCAGCTCCGCCCTGAACACGGTCGAGCCGACGCGCGACTAATATATCACAGAGTGATAATAATGAAGCAACAACGGTATATTGGTGCATACAACATAATGCAGCAAGAATTGTTGGTGCATACAACATCAGACTAGCTGTTACAAGCGGGTTGTACCTACAATCACACTGTCCGGAATAAATCCGCGGGACGAGCGAAGTGCACTGCACAATAATAGGGCAGACAGCTGAAACCACCGCTACTGAAAAGACGCAGAACACAGAAGGTTGTGCTATAAATGCATTAGTCGTCTAGGTAGTCCAGAGCGCGCTCCCCACCGAGTCTCAAGATGGAAAGCACTGCGTTCGTACTTCGTACTTTTCGTGAACGTACGAGGAGCATGACACCTTCGAACACGAATATACTATAAACGAGTCCCCGGGTCGAATGTGCGCGAGGACCTGTTTTATCGTGATCATTTTGAACGCGCGTTTATCAAGTCTTATGCCACTCGGTACCAATTGAAGATCTTACCGCAATGGAGGTATTTTGCCATGTCTCATGTATTAATAATGCCACCAGAATGCAACCAAAGCACAGGGTAGTAATAAGTAGATGTCTATAAGTGTAAATCATACAAAATAAATGCCATGATCACTAGATTTTATACAGGTGTTACTATAATGATTTTGTTAATGGTGATCAGCAACCAAATATTGATAATGTGGAAGTTACTGCCTTTTGCCTTGGCATAACTTCTCACTTTTTGCTGACAATGCAAAGGCAGAGTGTACAGTAACTTTAAAATAGTGGTCAAAAGTCAAGTTTGAGCTCAAGATTTTTTATGTAGATAATTTGTATTACTAAAACATCTAATTGCCAGATTTACAGTGTCCTACCTATAATTAATTTGGAGGGACAACTGAAAATCTTTAAAGTCATTTTTCTCAGTTCCAAACTCTAGCGAGTTAAGGTCTTTCTCATAATTTTTTTATTTTGTAATATTTTGTAACTATTGATGTAATATTAACCCTTACTAGACAGAACTTACTAAATGTTATTTTAAGGCTATCGTTGTTATCATAGAAATATTTGTATAGAGTGATAAAAGGCAAAATGGTCAATAAATTAGAAGTTAAGGTATTTTGCCTTTGTATGACCCATTATTGTTTTGCAGATAATGCAAAGGCAGAATACAGTAACTTCCGAATAGGGGTCAAAGGTCAAGTTTGAGCTAAATATTTTTTAATGTAGATAAATATATTCATTATGACAACTACTTGGCAAATTTTCATTGTCCTACCTATCATACAATTGGCTGGACAACAAAAAAACTTTAAAGTCATTTTTCTCAGTTTCACACTCTGGTGAGTTATGGTCTTTTGCCTTTGTAGGGCAGCACAATATTCTAATACTTCTGAAGTATAAAATATGACAGCTTTGCGTGAATAACAGACTGAAATTTAAAGGGAAAGGACAAAAAAAAAAAACACTCAAGTCATTCCAGAAAGCTATATTTTGTTATTTACTTCTGTGGAAGACAAAAGGAGATTTTTTTGTGAATTTTCACATAGTTATGTTCCATACATTGACAATCAGGCTTCAGAATGTACACAAACAGCACAAAAAGCACCATAAAATTCATCCATATGACTCATGCACCATATTCTTAAGTCTTATGATAGCTCTGTCTGAAGAAAATACTGAAATTTCAAAGCCATAAGACTATTTATTCTGTGGAACACAAATATATTGAAGAATGGCTTAGTGTTTTTTTTCCCCATGCAATCAAAATTAGTTAATGGAGTCCAATGTTGTTTGGTCCCCATTGACTTTCATTGTATGGACAAAAACAGTTTAAACATTCTTAAAAGTTTCCTCTTTTGTGTTTCACTGAAGAAAGTAAGTTAACAGGTTTAGAACAACAGAATGTATACATTTTTGGGTGAACTTTCCCTTTAACATAACAAATCTGGATTTGTGTGACAATATCAGATGACAAACCCTCAGAACTGGTGAGTGCCTAAAACTGTCCGGCCCAGTTCTTTTCTCGCTTGGCTGCAGACTCGGATGATTAACCCCGATCTGACCTCCACGTGTGAGAGAATGCGTCTCATCATTAAGTCCTCAGAATTGAGCCATATGGCGGTGTAACTCATAGCTTTTGACTAAAGGGAGGTGTGAGTTTTAAGAACGAGTGTTGGATTTCTTTTGTTCGCCGAGATTGGCACCTTTTTCTGTGCACTGCGGTACACCCGCTATCTCTGCAGGAACGTTGAGAAACATCCTCGTACCGTTGTGATTAATTGCTCCATCAAAACATTGTGGCTCTCTGTACGAACCGCTGAGCTAAGTGTAGGCACTCGCTCAGCAAAAGACAGCTTTCCCTTAGAAGACATTCCTGTTAAGCGAACTGAATTTAAAACAACACGTTTTCTTTCTTTACTCCACAAAGTGTCTGGCTTTTGTTGCTGCAAGGCAAAAGAGAAACATCAACGGCACATAAGACACCTGACACGAATGAGAGCGTAATGCCTATTTAGGAAGGCCAATATAGGGCTTGTTCATTTCTAATTAAGCAATATTTACGCATGTGAATAAGGCCAACTGGCGGGATTTGGAAGGATCCAATGAATAATTCATGAGCAGGGAGAGTGTATGCATGGGGAGACAGAAGGAGGTCAGGAATGTGCCGGGCTACAGGGACTGGACTCAACCAATGGGCCACCAGATCCAGTCATTCCTGCTCACTCCGACATATGCAATGAATTAACTCAAGAGATGTCACATTGACACTTGATAGATGACTCTATTGTTTCTAATGGACTAGAATTACATTTGGTGATTATATGATGCACACTTACGTGCACACACACAATATATATATCACTAATAAACATAGTTATGCTACATAACGTGTTTGCATCTGTTATTATCATTCTCTCAATGGCTCTGTTACAAAAAAAACAGTTTCTTAAATGACACCTCATAAATTACACATTTCATTTATAAGCAACTTCAATTTAGCGCTCCTAACATGAACTGCACGGGGCATTCGACTGACAATTAGATAGATCAATAGAGCATATATTGGGGTAAAATAGTCAAACATTGGATAAAATCACCCATTTTAAATTCAATTGAAGTATTTTTCCCCCCACAAAATTTTATACCGAATACAATATATTTATAATTAAAACTGGCTCTCTCTTTTCAACCATCATATCTTATTTTCCTTAATTGTGGCTGTGTCGGAGGACGCATTCTGAGGTAGGAAGGCACTTCTAAATCCAATAGTTATCTTCACATCCTATCTCTAAAATACCTTCATCTGATCGATTTTCACTGCCTTTGATATCCCACAATCATGTGTGTTCAATCCGTGACAGTTGAGCTAAAAAATAAACATGGTGTCTGAAAGAAGGTGTCTGAACTAAATGTACGTTTAACACTTTTTATTTCTTTCTAGTGAGAAATTACTATTATAGTAATTCAATATTCGCTTAGTTTTCACCAAAGCTCTCTCTATTTTGTTGTTATGCTGCCAAAGTCTACAAAGTCATCAAGTCAACTGCCTAAGCTTTCGGACGCAGCCCTTGTCGTAGTGCTTTTTTAGATCACTTTCTTAATGAAGGATGCATGCCATACTGCTTTGAGTCTTTTTAACAGATCTTTGTAATGGGTCTTGAGTGGCTGTAGTGTCTTCTGTTCCTAGTGGTTTTGAACTCTTTCTATGGTATTCCTAGTTCCACTACATACTAACATTGTTCCGGTGCTGTTCTAGGTCATCATCAGCCTGTGGACGTGTGCAGCTTTAGCTGTATGGGTCGTCTGGTGAGGTTCGGTTTCTCGGCCATGTTTGGTTTCGGTGGGCGGACGCTCGCACTGGCAGAGAGACACCGCTGGATGCCACCCAGCCAGCGTCGCGAGTTCGCTCTCATTAAAACACTGGCAAACCTCAAGTAAGCAGTCTTTCTTTCTCAGTTGTGTTGTCAGCTGTAGCTGTCTCTCATCTGGTGGGCTCCAAGGAAATGGCTGGTGCTCTATCAAATCTGGGATTAGTGTCAGACCAGCCTGGCACAGCACACATGGGCACTGTCTTTTAGAAATCCTTATCATAACACTCCATCTAACGTGTTTGTTCTCTTTCCTCGTGCCCCTCCCCAACTGACCGATGGTGCCTGTGAAGACCTGAAGACTGCGAACTGTCCTTTATAACCAGCAGAGGAGCCGAGGATCAGACAAAGTGTGTTAAAGCACATTTTTAAGGTTTTCTCGACCCTCATCCCCATCCAAATTTCAGCGTAATTATTTGAATGTTATTTTAAATAAACCACCCCCTGCTTAATTGGCCATTGGAAGGAAATCAAAATGCTGGAAATGCTGAAGGTCACCCAGCTAATGCTAATAAGGCAGGCTGCCCCACACTGGGAGGAGCCCATACAACTCCATTATTACTCAAATGCTGTTAATTTGTGCACTAAAAAAACATCTCTTTCTTTCATACAGAGCTGAGCGAAACAGAGATGGAGAAGCCATTTGTGAGTACAGCTAAATTAGGAGAAAGTTTAGGAGAAAAACAACGCTATAGCCTGCGTATACTGTATCTGCTTCACTGGGCAGCAAATCAGCTCTCGGCTATTAAGTGTTTCCTATGAGAAACAAAGGGGTTGTTCCTCAAGGGGGTGTTTACCGGCCGAATTAAAAGCTGAATTCTCCATTGGGCTGCTTTCAGATAGGCCTAGTTTTCTTTTTTCTTTTTTCTTTTTATTGGAGACTGGACATTCAAACACAATACTATTTTAAGCCTGTTTCCACCACTCAATAAAATAATAAAAAAGGTAATTGCGACTTTTAAATCACAATTCTGACTTTTTTTCTCATAATTGCGATCTTGCAATTCAGAATTGCGTGCTATAAACGTGTAGTTGCGAGTTATAAAGTCAGAATTACAAGATATAAACCTCTCAATTGTGAGTTATAAAGTCGGAATTGCAAAATATAAACTCGCAAATGCTGACTTTTTTTCTCAGAATTGCGAGTTTATATCTCGCATTTCTGACTTTGTAACGCAATTGCAAGTTTATATCTCATAATTCTGAGAAAAGTCAGAATTGCAGATGTAAACTCGCAAGTAGTAGAGAGAAAAAAAGTCAGAAGTGTGAGATAAAAAGTCACAAATATCTTTTAAATTGTTTTTTTCCGTGGCGATACACTTTCCATACACTACAAATCTGAAAAATATATGTTTTTTATTTTTATTCCTGTTATCACAAATGACTTTGATTGGTTCATATGGTCCATCTCCATCAGCGCTGAGAAAAGTTACATGTTCCAATGCTCCAATGTTCAGCAGTGGTCTGGATGACAATGCAGTGCACTGAAAAAAAAATAGACATATAATATAATATATTATGGTAACACTTTACAATAATTTCTAAAATAAACTAACAATGAGCAATACATTTTCTACAGTATTTATACTTCTTTATTAATATTATTTACAAGTGTACATTGTTTAAAGCTTAGTTCATGTTAGCTCAGGTCCATTACATAATATAAACAGATAACAACTTTTGGTTTTAATAATTTATTATTTAATGTTGAAAAGGACATTAACCAAGATGAATAAATGGTTTAGAAGTATTTTTCATTGTTAGTTCATGTTAATGTAGTTAACAAATGGAACCAATTATAAAGTGTTACCTATTGTATTGTATTGCATTGTAATATTGTAGTAGACAAAAAGTGTCATTAAAAATAATTTGCATATAATATAATAGTCAAAAAAATATATAGGCATAATAGTCCAAAAGGAATCATCATTAAACATAATAGGCATATCATATAATATAATGTAATGTAATAGTCAAAAAAGTAAGCGCCATCATACCTGACCATTTAGAAAAATCATCCAGGTCGCTGCTCAAGGACCAGCTCCTATTCTATGATCTGCTTTCACATTAAAAACATGCAAGTGCACCAACAGTATGAGTACTATTTACACATGGAAAAACTCTCTCTGTTTTAATAGGTGAGGGTGACTCCTGGCAGACCAGACACGGCCTGTACCTGAATATCAGCATCATGGCTATTCCCTGCCTGTGTTCAATGGCCCCCAGGGGCCTGGCTCCAAACACCAGGTCAGAACCTCTTCCACTCTACCTCAATCCGCTCATTAGCAAACTGACAACATCCTTCCAAAATGCAACACATTTTACTTTCATAAGGATATATGATAAATAACATGATGAATATTGGCATGGCTTGATTTTATACACTACCATTCAAAAGTTTGTGGTCAGTAAATTTTAGTTTTTGAAAAAGTATCTTATGCTCACCAAGGCTGCATTTATTTAATTAAAAACAGAGTAAAAACATTAATATTGTGAAATATTATTCCATTTTTTAAAATAACTGTTTTCTATTTTAATTCATTTTAAAATGAAATCTATTCCTGTGATGACAGAGCTGAATTTGTCACATAATCCTTTAGAAATCATTCTAAGATGCTGATTTTTTTTCTTGTGATACAACTGGATTCTTTTATTAATAGGAAGTTCAAAAGAACTGCATTTAATTAAATATAGAAATGTTATTGTAAAAATGTACAAGTGTTTGTCACTTTTGATACATTTAAAGCATCCTTACTGAATTAAAGTATTCATTTCTTTTAAAAACACAGGGCTTAACATTAACTTTTTTGCTCTCCAGCAGCTGTGGCTAGTAGTTTTCCAAGTTACTTGCCACTCAGCATTTTCACTGGCCACAAATTTGACATCGATACCATTGAGAAAAACTGCCATATTGATATTCGGTAACGCTTCCTTTTACAGTCCTGTTACCCATGTACATACTATGTACTTATTATAGTAATTATAATTACTGGGTAATAACTAGGCACTAACCCTAAACCTACCCCTAACCCATGTACTTACCTTATATTAGCCAGTACTTTCTAGGTAAGTACACTGTAAGTACACGTAGTTCTGTACTGTAAAAGGAAGCGTTACCTGATATTCTTCTGCTATCTCATAATTTGGTATATAAGGCTGCGGTCATGAATCCATTATACTACGTTTTCTTTCTCAACTGTTTACGTTCATTTAAAACATAACTGACTGTGTTTACGTGAATACCCACCAAGACCAGCATTTTGACATTATTTTGTGTGTATTTGACTGTTTAAGCGCAATAAGCAGCGAAAAAGAACTAAATGTAGTACCGAGAGGCGGCTTTATGTGCACGCACTTTGGGTGATAGCACAAAATCTGCGGGAATGAGTAAAGTTATGCACAATAAGTGCAATCCCACGCCGAAATTTAAGCCCTGCAACACCAAAAATATTCGTCCGGAGCAAATGAAAGGAGTGAGTGAGGGGAGGCGGGTTTGTGTGTCAACTCACTGTCGGAGAGATGAGAGAGTGAGAAACCGCAGCTGGTATCATCTATTCTGAGGAAAATGAGTATTGGAAGAATTTCAGATATTTCAGTATAGATACAGTATGTATTGAAAAATCTATATTTTTGACAACACTTTTGACAAAAATGTATATATTATATATAAATTTAAACCCACCAAGGTGGCTAGTATGAGTGACTGCTTACTGACCTTAACCTTTTGAATGGCAGTGTACATCATAAATTGATCTGATTTCCAAATTGAGATCTGAAATCTTTTTTATGAAGAATTACAGACAGACATTTTATTTGGAATGACAGAACGATTATGCAAAATAAGACCAGCAATGTGCATTATGATAGTAAATAGCATCAACTTTCATTTTGTGTTGACTAGAACAAGCTAAATCTGGTGCCAACACAATTAGATCCATCTACATCTTCTTCTACTGAACACCTCTGAAATAAATGCTTTAACCTGCAAATATGTTTCATTAATAACTTGCAATATCCCTTAAAAAAGGAAACCAATAAGTCATGATGCAGCCACCAGTCATTCTTATTATGGCACATTTGCATGCACGAACACAAGCTGTAAATAATCCTTCTCACCTGTTTTTAAAATCTTCCTTGTTAGCAAAAGGATCTGATTTCCATTTGCCATAATAAACGTCATTAGGAAACTCGCCAGCACTAGTGTTGCTTTATCAACGCACCTGTTCTACTCAATCTAAACTATAAACGACCATCGCAATGCAACCAAACTAAATCGGTCCCACCATATTCAATCAAATTGTCTACATTGCGAGCACCTGAAAGCTTTGTTACTGTTAAAGGGTTAGTTCACCCAAAAATGTCCTTAATTACTCACCCTCATGTCGTTCCAAACCTGTATGACTTTCGTTCATCTTCAGAACACAACTGAAGATCTTTTTGATAAAATCTGAGAGCTTCCTGTTCCTCCATTGACAGCTACACAACTACCACTTTGACGCTTCATAAAGTTCATAAAGAGATCATAAAACGAATCCATATGAATTGAGCGGTTTAGTCCAAGTTTTCTGAAGAGATTCGATCTCTATATATGATGAACTGATTGAATGCATGCTTTTATTCACATATAAACATTCATCAACACACACATCAGTTGTGGTAAACAGAAGCTCAAGCATGTGCGCTTGACGTGCGAGAATCAATGAGGTTCATTCTCGTGTTACGCAGCACGTTTGAGCTTCTGTAAGAACCAATGAGGTTCATTCTCGTGTTTCGCAGCACGTTTGAGCTTCTGTAAGAACCAATGAGGTTCATTCTCGTGTTACACAGCACGTTTGAGCTTCTGTAAGAACCAATGAGGTTCATTCTTGTGTTACACAGCACGTTTGAGCTTCTGTAAGAACCAATGAGGTTCATTCTTGTGTTACGCAGCACGTTTGAGCTTCTGTAAGAACCAATGAGGTTCGTTCTCGTGTTACGCAGCACGTTTGAGCTTCTGTAAGAACCAATGAGGTTCGTTCTCGTGTTACGCAGCACGTTTGAGCTTCTGTAAGAACCAATGAGGTTCATTCTCGTGTTACACAGCACGTTTGAGCTTCTGTAAGAACCAATGAGGTTCATTCTCGTGTTTCGCAGCACGTTTGAGCTTCTGTAAGAACCAATGAGGTTCATTCTCGTGTTACACAGCACGTTTGAGCTTCTGTAAGAACCAATGAGGTTCATTCTTGTGTTACACAGCACGTTTGAGCTTCTGTAAGAACCAATGAGGTTCATTCTCGCGTTACACAGCACGTTTGAGCTTCTGTAAGAACCAATGAGGTTCATTCTCGTGTAACGCAGCACGTTTGAGCTTCTGTAAGAACCAATGAGGTTCATTCTTGTGTTACGCAGCACGTTTGAGCTTCTGTAAGAACCAATGAGGTTCATTCTCGTGTTTCGCAGCACGTTTGAGCTTCTGTAAGAACCAATGAGGTTCGTTCTCGTGTTACGCAGCACGTTTGAGCTTCTGTAAGAACCAATGAGGTTCGTTCTCGTGTTACGCAGCACGTTTGAGCTTCTGTAAGAACCAATGAGGTTCATTCTCGTGTTACGCAGCACGTTTGAGCTTCTGTAAGAACCAATGAGGTTCATTCTCGTGTTTCGCAGCACGTTTGAGCTTCTGTAAGAACCAATGAGGTTCGTTCTCGTGTTACGCAGCACGTTTGAGCTTCTGTAAGAACCAATGAGGTTCGTTCTCGTGTTACGCAGCACGTTTGAGCTTCTGTAAGAACCAATGAGGTTCATTCTTGTGTTACACAGCACGTTTGAGCTTCTGTAAGAACCAATGAGGTTCATTCTCGCGTTACACAGCACGTTTGAGCTTCTGTAAGAACCAATGAGGTTCATTCTCGTGTAACGCAGCACGTTTGAGCTTCTGTAAGAACCAATGAGGTTCATTCTTGTGTTACGCAGCACGTTTGAGCTTCTGTAAGAACCAATGAGGTTCATTCTCGTGTTTCGCAGCACGTTTGAGCTTCTGTAAGAACCAATGAGGTTCGTTCTCGTGTTACGCAGCACGTTTGAGCTTCTGTAAGAACCAATGAGGTTCGTTCTCGTGTTACGCAGCACGTTTGAGCTTCTGTAAGAACCAATGAGGTTCATTCTCGTGTTACGCAGCACGTTTGAGCTTCTGTAAGAACCAATGAGGTTCATTCTCGTGTTTCGCAGCACGTTTGAGCTTCTGTAAGAACCAATGAGGTTCGTTCTCGTGTTACGCAGCACGTTTGAGCTTCTGTAAGAACCAATGAGGTTCGTTCTCGTGTTACGCAGCACGTTTGAGCTTCTGTAAGAACCAATGAGGTTCATTCTCGTGTTACGCAGCACGTTTGAGCTTCTGTAAGAACCAATGAGGTTCATTCTCGTGTTACGCAGCACGTTTGAGCTTCTGTAAGAACCAATGAGGTTCATTCTCGTGTTACGCAGCACGTTCGAGCTTCTGTAAGAACCAATGAGGTTCATTCTCGTGTTACGCAGCACGCTTGAGCTTCTGTAAGAACCAATGAGGTTCATTCTTGTGTTACGCAGCACGTTCGAGCTTCTGTAAGAACCAATGAGGTTCATTCTCGTGTTTCGCAGCACGTTTGAGCTTCTGTAAGAACCAATGAGGTTCATTCTCGTGTTACGCAGCACGTTTGAGCTTCTGTAAGAACCAATGAGGTTCATTCTCGTGTTACGCAGCACGCTCGAGCTTCTGTAAGAACCAATGAGGTTCATTCTCGTGTAACGCAGCACACTTGAGCTTCTGTAAGAACCAATGAGGTTCATTCTCGTGTTACGCAGCACGTTTGAGCTTCTGTAAGAACCAATGAGGTTCATTCTCGTGTTACGCAGCACGCTTGAGCTTCTGTAAGAACCAATGAGGTTCATTCTCGTGTTACGCAGCACGTTTGAGCTTCTGTAAGAACCAATGAGGTTCATTCTCGTGTTACGCAGCACGTTTGAGCTTCTGTAAGAACCAATGAGGTTCATTCTCGTGTAACGCAGCACACTTGAGCTTCTGTAAGAACCAATGAGGTTCATTCTCGTGTTACCCAGCACGTTTGAGCTTCTGTAAGAACCAATGAGGTTCATTCTTGTGTTACGCAGCACGCTCGAGCTTCTGTAAGAACCAATGAGGTTCATTCTCGTGTAACGCAGCACACTTGAGCTTCTGTAAGAACCAATGAGGTTCATTCTCGTGTTACGCAGCACGTTTGAGCTTCTGTAAGAACCAATGAGGTTCATTCTCGTGTAACGCAGCACGTTTGAGCTTCTGTAAGAACCAATGAGGTTAATTCTCGTGTAACGCAGCACACTTGAGCTTCTGTAAGAACCAATGAGGTTCATTCTCGTGTTACGCAGCACGTTTGAGCTTCTGTAAGAACCAATGAGGTTCATTCTCGTGTTACGCAGCACGTTTGAGCTTCTGTAAGAACCAATGAGGTTCATTCTCGTGTTACGCAGCACGTTTGAGCTTCTGTAAGAACCAATGAGGTTCATTCTCGTGTTACGCAGCACGTTTGAGCTTCTGTAAGAACCAATGAGGTTCATTCTCGTGTTACGCAGCACGCTTGAGCTTCTGTAAGAACCAATGAGGTTCATTCTCGTGTTACGCAGCACGTTTGAGCTTCTGTAAGAACCAATGAGGTTCATTCTCGTGTTACGCAGCACGTTTGAGCTTCTGTAAGAACCAATGAGGTTCATTCTTGTGTTACACAGCACCCTTGAGCTTCTGTAAGAACCAATGAGGTTCGTTCTCGTGTTACACAGCACCCTTGAGCTTCTGTAAGAACCAATGAGGTTTGTTCAGTTGAGCTTCTGTTTATGTGCGCTGATCAATGTTGAATAAAAGCATAAATTCAATCTGTTCATCATATAAAGCGATCAAGTCTCTGAAAATGTGGACTAAACCGCTCTATTCATATGGATTAGTTTTATGGTCTCTTTATGAACTTTATGAAGCGTCAAAGTGGTAGTTGTGTAGCTGTCAATGGAGGAACAGAAAGCTCTCAGATTTCATCAAAAATATCTTCATTTATGTTCCGAAGATGAATGAAAGTCTTACGGGTTTGGAACGTTGTGAGGGTGAGTAATTCAAGAAAGAATTTTCATTTTTGGGTGAACAATTTCATTAATACAGCAGGAGTGATGTTAGTTCTTGTCATGACGCTTGCAGTGGCGATTCTGTTAAACACATCTCCCAAATCTGTAACCAAATCTTGTTCTGAGACCTTATAATGTACAAACTAAGCACTGGCCTCAATCCTTCAGAATATGCCCTAAAAGCAAGTAAGATGGGCTCAGTAGCTGATGTCTGTGTGGACTGTAAATCCTTGAGACCAGGTCAGTGTGTCAGCAACATGCAAGGCCAACTGAGTCTTCAAACTTGTTTTCTGGCCCATGTCGTGGGCGTTTCTTGAGTGTGAAGCCGGGTAGACTAGGCCAACGTAATCCTGAAGATTGGAATCAGTGTTTGGATCAGACTCCTAAGGTCAAAGCCACCTAACTGGACTAATCAGCACATAATTACTCTGATTAAAGGGAGTGGCTGGTTAGACTTAAGGCCTGAGCATCTGTCCACGGGCCTCAACAACCCCCTCTCCTTCCTATATTTAGAGAGCGACACAAGTTAAGCTCAGCTTCTCGTAAGCACCATCTTTAGTGGGGGTCACAGGGTTCTCATTGCAAGAAATCATTCGTTCGTTTCTGCTCTAAAAATATCTAAAGGTCCTTTAAACACGATACATTCACTAGAAGTAATTAATGACAGAGCGTTTTTGGGTGAACTATCCCTTTAACAGTAACAAAGCTTTCAGGTCCTCGCAATGTAGACAATTTGATTGAACATGGTGGGACCGATTTAGTTTGGTTGCATTGCGATGGTCGCAGAGCTCTTTCAGACTACAGCTTTTCTTTCTGAGAATATATTTTGAAATAAAGGGATAGTTCATCCAAAAATGAGAATTCTGTCATCATTTACTCTCCCTCAGATGTTAAATATCGAGGATGGCAGTTTTGAATTTAGTGGAACTCTAATTCTGTCTGGACATATTTCTTACCTTGAAGCTCCCATTTACATTGTCCACTGATGTGTAGATATGGGACAGTCCAAGTGTGCTTCACATATATTTATAGACCTGTGGTAAAACAAAATAGAAACTGGTTTATACAATTCTCATTACCTCTTAACCATATGAAAAGTGTATGGGCTTATTATAATGTTGAATTTGCTTTCTCATCATGATGTTTGCCGCGGACTCAGTGTTCTCTCCATACATGACAGGCACATAAGTAATAGTTTGCATTAACAAATGTTACACCTAAGCACAATAAATGTGAACATTTTCTGTCTTCCACAGGCTGAACAATGGCAGTATGGCGCTAATAGTTGTTGACAACACATCCAGGTCAGAATTCATCAAGCACTTGAAGAGATACGGCAGCACAAACAACCAGGTGAGGTCACCTGTGCGAAGCCAGAGAACTTTCTTAACTCACATCAGCCTGATACACAGGAAATCCAGCCCACGCAAATAGAGTTAACAACCTCCACAGCTTAAGCAGAATTAGCATACTGTCAAGTCAAATTAGTCACTGATTGTCAGCTTCCCACAAAACACTTTTCAGGCTAATACAGATTAGCCCATTTCAGAGCCTGTCTCTTCTTTTTTCTTCAGCAATCCAATCTAGAGATGTTTGTTAACCCACATTCTATAAATAATCTGTGTATGTTGCGGTGCTGACCTACTGCTATACTTCACTCTCCTGTCATTGTGCCGTAGAGCAAAGCTGTGTCAATTTCAGGGTCTCTGTGCTGTACTATTAGGCCTTCATTGTCCATTTTAAAAGAGCTTGCGTGCGTTCACTTCATTTACATGAGGAAAGCAATGTAGAAAGTCAAGTGCATTTTAACAGTGGTTGAATCTCACAAAGAGAAAAAAGGTCTGGGTCATATTTGGCCTCAACATCAAAGAAAGATGTAAGAAATTACACTTTGCATTAAGAAAATGGGCTATTTCTAACCCATTAAGACTAAAAAAAAAACATTACTGTAATGGGAAATATATATATACAGTATAGTATTATTTCAAAGGTAAACTATTTACGTATATATCATGGTGTTCGTTCATCTTTTTGGCTATCCAGCAGCCATATCACCCTGTAGCCCAAGACTGGTTGCCCACTGAAGCTAAGCAGGGCTGAGCCTGGTTAGTACCTGGATGGGAGACCTTCTGAGAACACCAGGTTGCTGCTGGAAGAGGTGTTAGTGAGGCCAGCAGGGGGTGCTATCCCTCTGGTCTGTGTGGGTCCTAATGCCCCAGTATAGTGACGGGGACACTATACTGTCAAAATAGCACCGTCCTTCGGATGAGACGTTAAACCGAGGTCCTGACTCTCTGTGGTCACAAAAAATCCCAGGATGTCTTTCGAAAGAGTAGGGGTGTTACCCCGGCATCCTGGCCAAATTTGCCCAGTGGCCTCTGTCCATCATGGCCTCCTAATCATCCCCATATACTGATTGGCTTCATCACTGTCTCCTCTCCACCAATAAGCCGGTGTGTGGTGGGCGTTCTGGCGCAATATGGCTGCCGTCGCATCATCCAAGTGGATGCTGCACATTGGTGGTGGTTGAGGAGATTCCCCCCTTCTATGTAAAAAGCGCTTTGAGTGCCTAGAAAAGCGCTATATAAATGTAATGAATTATTATTATTATTATTATTATCTTTTTACGTTGAGTTACACTGAAATAAAATGCAAACATATTACATGAGAACATGAGTTGTGTATAATGGGAATTCATCTCAAAAAAGGGAAAAACTTAAATGCAAAAAACGTTTACTCTTGCTTTAAGATACATTACAGTGTTGAGAATTTGAGAAAAGTTGAGAAAATGTGCTTAATTATGTGCAAAAACACAAGAAAAATCACATACATATAACATATATGGCAAATATAAATTTTAGCATTTGGTATTTGTATTACATTATGGTAGTGCTGGCTTTTAATTTATGATTTATGCTGATTTAAATAAAAAATGGAATGCAGTAAAAAGTACTGTAGTAAAGTAATGAGAATCTGATGAAACTCATTGATAATAATGGGTTTTAAAAAATTACTGAAATATAAAACATCTTTATGCATTACAATAATCAGAATTTAGGGGAGATTTTGTTTAAATGTCATTTAAATAAATAAATACTGGTTCTAAGTACAGGCTCAACTTTTATACAGAAATTAATTTCATTATTTTAAACGGGTGAAAGTGACCTGGTCATGTTTTTGTGAGATTTACTGTCAAATCAATTTGTATGTGAACTCATCACAAAGACACAGAACAGAAAAAAAAAAAAAAAAAATCATGCAGTTGATGAACAAATGACTGCTGGGTCAGAGCCATTATTACTCCAACAGAATACTAATATGCATAGTTTTTAAAATAAGTAAATGGTACTTACATAAGATCTCTGCAGTGAGGTATTATAATGACTTCTAAGCAAGAATTTGACAGACATACCCGGTTATCTTAATAAAAGGATATACAATATGATGTGTTGAAAGCCCAGTCCTGGCCTGGTTCTGTATCCAAGTTCACTCCAGGTCACACGCACACACACACTGAAGCGGGCTGAAGAGGATCAGTTGTTCATCACTGCCTCCTTGTGGACCTACATTAAACTACAGCCTCAAATAAGTCAGATTCAAATAAATAGTGCAAACAGCTGCACATTATAAAACATAATAAAAGCTCAGACAGAAGAGTTCTGCTATACAGTATATATATATATATATATATATATATATATATATGGACGACTTCTATAATGCTTCTGTATCCTTCTGCAGTTTGGTTTCTCTTTTATCGAGACACACACTGTAAAGGCTGTGAGGCTGCGTCCACGTTCTCAGGGAAGCTGGGCTGAAGACGTCTTGGAGGAGAATGAGGAGAGCGATTCAAAAACAGTGCCCATCATCTCCTCTGAAGGAACATACCCCTGGAACATTGACGGAGATCTCTTAGAGGTCACATCTGAACTCCTGATCAGGTGAGACACTCGAGTCAATCATCAAGACAAATTTACAGCAGAACTCCATTATTAGAGCTTGTGTATGACAGCGATGTCGCAATGGATAAAAGGAGCTGTTGCCTCTAAAAACAGACTCTTAACCATAGTAAATTCACTGTAATATACAACTTTGAGTGTCGTTGTTTTTTAGGTTGCACATATTATAAAATCATACTCTAAAGCCTACGGATGCACAGATATGCGGATTATACGAGCAAAAGCACCATAAAACGAACATAAAAGTTGCCCAAGTCAGAACTTTCCATTTTATAAGTGAATAAGTCAAATTCCTATTTATTTGCAAAACAGTAGTCAAGATAGCCACTGTATACTTTCACAGGTTGAACTTCACATGACCTGTGCAAGCGCAGGCTGTGTTGTTTTAAGGCACTACAAACATTATATAAGCAGCACTTGATAAGAAAATTCCTAATTCATCTTCTTAAAGCTGCAGAAAGAGTGTCAGAAGAATAAACAGAACAGCGTGAGGTTCGAAGAAAAAGGGAGGGATGTGTGCATATTTCAGATAAATCCTTGTAATGTTTAAATGTAGTGACAGGCCTGTTTATTTTCCAGGGTTCACCCGCAGCTCCTCACACTCTTTGGAGCCGACGTGGAGGAGGCGGAGGAGTCGCCAGTTAAATGCAGCTGTATCTGAACACAACCACACACACACACACACACACACAAAGAGAGATTGTGCTTGATGGTAGCGCTAAGAGAAACTGAACGAAAATATTGCACAAAGCAAAGCTTTAACATGTATATATAGAACATTTTATGTCAGAGCAAAAACAAAATGACACACAGTACATTCCAGTGCATAAGATTTTAAATTAAACCAAAGTACATTTTTCAACCATTTTTTTAAAGACAGGAGAAAAAAACAAATAAAAACATTAACCTATTAAAAATACTGATATAAAAGCAATGTGCTAGTCCCTGAACAGTAGCGTTTTTTTTTTTTTTTTACTTGTTTACCCATCTGATATGGTTTCCCAAATCTAAAGATTATGTCCCGCATTTTTAGCTTTGATTCTGACAGGACTGTTTGGTCTTATGATCCTTTTAGGTCTTGTTCATACGCCAACACACACTTACGGGGCAGGCACCAACAAAATCAGCTGACTTTCCCACATTTTATGCACGTATTTTTGGGGGTAATGGATTTGAAAATGTCACTATTTTTATTAAATCTTTAAAAAACTGTTTTATTCATACAATTAATCAACATCATCTTTGTTTCTTATAACACAGCACCAAAAATCATTCAGCATATGATGACATATTTGGCATGATAATCAGCTTTTGTACATAAATTAAATCAGATATATACAAAAACTAATTTTCTTCGTAATTTCATAGAATTTGTGTTTATATTTCAGTGCACATTTATAGCTTCAGCTTAGTTTTCGCTGTTCTGCAAACTCCCATTGTTTAACTAATTATTGAATTAATTCTTGTTCGATGCTATTTTTGTAAACATTTTCATTAACACCCATAGCTAAAATATGTCCAACTTGAACAGACAAAGGGGGATGAGTGGATCTATGAATGACGGGCACGTGAGAGCTGATGGTGCTGTGTGTATTTGCGCCATATAAAATGAATACACACTCTTAAGCAATGGCTGGAAGCCAGACACATGCCAATCTCGTCACTCTTCTGTAACGCAGTACACACACACACACACAACAGCAGCCTCCTTTGCTCCGTTTCCATGGCACCCAGCCAGAGCAGCGGAAAACACTCGCTCCTTCCATCTGGCGTCTCCGTTCAAACTTCTTACTATTGAACTCGGCAGCGAGAGTTTGGGAGGAGAAAGCGTGTCATTTCCTACTTTAGTTTGCAAGGAGAACCGATACCGCAGTGATGCCAAGGTGTGAAAACCCCTATCGCAGCAATGTTCTGTATCGGGAAGGGGGACGGAAAGATCCCGTGTCACCTCTGTGGAGGGTGTACTAAATTGCGGGTGTAAAAAAGCCAGTCTCTCTTCGGAGACACACAAGCATAACCTTAGCAAGAAAAGCTACAGCAGTGCAAATTCTCCTTTACAGCAGTCCAATAGCCAATATGTTCAGTGATCGTAGGCAAACCTGTGATGAAACAATTAGGCTCTGTTCCAAAACCTAGAGCTGCCTTGCCGTCCATGCAGCCTACATAGGCAGCTGTGTTTTAAGACGGCACCAAAACTCAAATTAGAACCTCATAAATTACAGACGACCAACCATAGTTGAGACTCGGCTCACGATTGATTTCAATTGGATTTTAATGTTAGCAGGTTGCGGTCAAATCGATTAATCATGATTAATCGCAGTATCGCACCTAACAAAAGTTTGTTTTATATATATATGATGTTCAAAAAAAAAAACTTTTTCAATTAAATGTTGTTCTTTTAAACTTTCTGTTCAGCACAAAAAAAAAAAATCCTGAAAAAACAATTATCATGGTTTCCCCAAAAATATTAAGCAGCTCAACTCTTTTCAACATTGATGATAATAATAATAATAAATGTTTCTTGAGCAAATCTGGAATGCTGGAATGATTTCTGAAGACTGAAAAAGTAATGAAGCTGAAAACATCACTGGAATAAATTACATTTGATAAATTGTCATTTTAAATTGTAATGATATTTCACAATATTACTGTTGTTTGATCAAATAAATGCAGCACTGCGGAGCATGAGAGACTTATTTAAACATAAAAAAGTAGTGTACATATATTATTCGATATTTTAATTTGAGTGATTTTTTTATACTTTTTGGTGTGGAATAAATTATATTCACAATTAACACTCTCTCACTTTGACTCACACTGCCTTAGAATTTAGACAGAAGGACGTGTCTTTGTGCTTCTTACCTTTTGGAACAACCTTCACACTTTAAAAAATGCTGCCTACATAGGTTGCTCACTAGGTTTTGGAACAGAGCCGTAATGTTCTATAGCGACAGTACATTCTGAAGTCCTTTTCTCCCTTGGCACGACAGCGCCGGAGCGTGTCCGTGAGCACATTAGTATGTTCCATTCTCTAAAGTGCATTGGCTCCATCCTGCCGACAGAAAATGCAGATTCTTTTGACAGTCTTAGACAGTCTCTTTTGAACAGTCTTCATCGCTTTGTGATGAATGTTTTCAGCCATTACGGTTAATGGCCGTAGGTTATCATGAGTCCAGCTCTTGGTGTCGTCATGATTTGTCCCTTCCATTCTGACTGGTTTTGTATGTGGTGCAAATCCCATGTTATGACGTGCTCTCTTTCTTCGGTACATAGTCCCAACTGTCCCGTCTAAACCTCTCATCTTTCAACTTCCGCTCAAAGAATCCAAGCTAATAAAAGGAAGAGGATGTATTATTGTCAATAAGCAAAAGCACATCTCAATTTCAACCTTAACAAGCCTTGTTTTGAAGATTTTTCTTCTTTTTGTGTAGGGATAAATCTACTACTTGGTAGGTTGTCTGAATGACTATTCGGGCTCAATTGAGCTTGTTTAAGGCTGGTTCAGGTCTACCAGAAACCAATCAGGTTTCTTAACTCCAATCTTGGATGGAGCATGGCGGAATTGAGAGAACAATGTGTTTTTAAAAGTTAAACTTGATACTTAAAAATGCTATGCTCATGACACGAAGCATTGAAAAGTTCTAAAAAATGTGCACATGTACAGATAATTTAGAAAAGAGTCTGAAATTATTCTTTAGCAAGTTTTTCATTGAAGGCAGTGGATTTGTTATTAACGTTATTACTTCTCCAATAGAGCTTTACTGACAGTTACAGTTACACTATAGTTTTACCACGGTAAAGCCCAGCATGCTGTTAAACCCTCTATGAGATGATGCATCTCTAAAAAGTAATATCTTCACATATTTCAGGTCTAGCTTTAGTGAATTGATTTCTATGCTCTTAGTACTTAATTCCTGTAAGATGAAGAGTCTTGCACGAGTTGAAAATACGTCATTATGTCGTACTCGAGAACATTTCATATGTGATACATACCTTCCAGAGGGTGATGACAAGCAGTGCTAAAATGATCAGACCAACAATCAGACTGGATACTATTAGAAATATTTTCGCAGCCGCCACAGGCTTAAGGCTGTACAGAGCCTCCAAGAATACCTGTAACATTGCAAACATTTAAGTTAATAACATGCAACAAAAGGTTGTAAATGCAGCATCTCATTATGCATGACTGGTTTTAGAGGTTCAGATACTTACTCTAGCAGAAATGTCATCCTTTAGTAGGATGGTGTTTGCATCCTTTACTGGTGAAATAAGGTCAATCATGCCTCGTACCATCATGACAGAGTGTCTGCCCTATAGGAAATAAACATGCATCAAGGTCATGTGTTTTAGTTGCTCTTTTGGGCAAACAGTTCAGGTAATCCATCTGTCAAACAATGTTTGCCTTTCTAATTTACTGCATCCGGTAGTCTATGAGGAACATTTATTGGCTATAATTGGAGGAGGCCCAACCAAGCCAAGCTTATGACATCTAGCTGGATGACATGGTGGGCATCTTGGGCAAATTCATTTTTTTTGTCTGTGCAATTAAAAAACTGTTGGCCAATTGTAAGTTTGAAAAACTGTGCTGCTTAATATTTACGCGGAAACTATGATGATGCATAAATATAAATCTTTTGTAACATTATAAAATGTTTATGTAATGCATCCTTGCTGAATAAAAGCAATACTTTCTTTCTGACCCTAAACTTGCAATTTCTTCCCATTTATTTTTGTACAAGTGGTCCATCTCCTTCTCCATGTCTCTAACCAACACTCACTGGACTCATCTGGAGAACCCTGGGGTTGAGCTCCACCTCCATATTGATGGTAACTTCTTTTCCAACCTCCAAGTCACCGAAGTGACACTCCACCATCCTACAGGTCTTATCTTCATGAGCACAGAACTGTAGAAAAACAGGGCATGAGAACTTCCAATAACATTTACACTAAACACACCAGAACTCATTACTATGACGATTCATTTACCATTATGCGCTTGCTTTTTGGGGAGAAAAAGAATACAAGTTCCTGAATAAAGGAAGCTTCCGGGACGTCGCAATCATCAATAACCTGAACTGTATTGTTCTTCTGGAAGCAATGCCCAAGAGTTGTCTGCAAGACGAAAAAACAATACAAGTTTAAGTAAAGATAAAGACGTGTATTTCTAGATGTATAGCATAAGCTAAGTTATAGCTAATTATGTTACATGCTTATCATTAAGATGACTAGTAGCAATAGTTCATCTATCTATTCCATGAAACATACAAGAACAGGTTCGGCAGAATGTCAGAAGTTCTGTTTTCCTTACAAGGAAAGTGAATTGTGATTTATACCACGAAGCTACAGATAGGATAATAAAGCATATGACTTGTGTGTGCTATTTCAGAAATCTTCTGCAGTCGTACAGCAGCTTTGTGTGAGGAAGAGATGAAATTTAAGCCGTTGTCTACTAATAATCTTTCCTTGTTGAAGCGCTCAAATTTAGTGGTTGAGTTTTTCAAACTTGACATGTCACAATTGGTCACATGACACATGAGAACTAATGCAAATTTGCCTCAAGTTTATCAATATGGGATACGGCATTGATGGTCAAATGAAACCTCTAAAAGATTTGTTTAATATAACTTTTTTTGTTCTTTTTCATCTTATACCATAAATCACAGTCCAGTTTCATTGTTTGGAAAGCAGAAGCACAAACATTCTGCCTACCATCTGCTTTAATATTTTTGTGGAAACAGTGATACTTTTTGTTCAGGATTCTTTGATGAATACAAAGTTTAAAAGAACAGCATTTTTTGAAATAGAAACCTTTGTAACATTATAAATGTCTTTGTCACGTATGATCAATTTAATGCATCCTTGCTGAATAAAATTATGAATTTCATCTTACACCAAAAAATCTTACACCAAACATTTGAACCATATATATATATATTTGCATATGTAAATCTCACCTGTAAATCCGTAATCCTGATTAACTGGTATGTGTATGGCACCAGCATCAGAGGCAAGCCGATCTTTACTCTCGCATCAAGAGCTTTACTAGGACCCATATTCATCACCTGTAAGTTAATAGACATTTTAACCAAACGAATCATGTTAAATGATTCATTAGTGCTTAATGACATTGTTATGTGTCTGATGAGCACTAAAATACCTTGTATGTATAATTGAACTTCTCAGGATAGCAGTCAACCGGCACAGACTCTTGTTCTCCGATCAGAAATGAAGTCGGAGAGACAAATCTGCAGAGGAAGGGAACAACAGAAGCGTTCCGTAATTTGGCCTGGTATTCTTCCGACATATACTTATGGAATCACATATTCATAAGCAAGCCAGATAACTTACCCGTGAACATTGAGGTCAACTGCATATCTCAAGGGCAACGTAAGAACAGCCACGTTGTCTTGCCGAAGGTCTGTGTTCTCAAAGCTTTCACTGAAAACACACAAATTAGATTGGTTAATGTTCACTATTGAAGAAACGTACACTGACCCCCTATCTTGACATGTAAACCAGTTAAAAATGTGTGAATGCAAGAAAATTGCTCAGATAAACGGTGAAATTAGCATTTGTTTGCAGACGCCAATTAGTTTGATATTGTCCTATCTAATGAAACGACATGCTAAGTGTAGTTTAAGTGTCCAAATGCTTTTTGGGGTCATTGTATATGTGCAAAAGATCTTTCTACGAGAGGAAATGTTTAATGACTTTAATTATTGGAGTACAACCCTAATATACCCTGAGATTTCATTACAGGAACTCATTACATAGGCTATGTAAACATCCATCTTTAGATCCATTCCTCTGTTTTTCTCGTTTCTAATAGTAACACTGAAAGCACACCAAACCTTTGAACGTGCTGTTTAATGCCTTTGTTTGTCTTTTGTGCTCTGATGATCAATTTACAAGTTTACGCAGTTGCAAGATGTTCTCCACAAATGTTTACACTTGGCTCAGATGCATTTGTATAAACCATCCATTGTAATGAATTCCTGACATCTCTGGATCTCTTACCTCGTAGCATTGATGTTAATACTAAGATCTCCAGCGCTGCTGTTCTGCATCACATCCAGTAAAAATGTGATGTTGAGCTGGAAGAAAGAAAATAGACGTTTATATTCCGACAAGACATGGTGACCAACAAACTCATTTAACTTCCATTGCTAAAGACATTTACCTTTGAGAAAGGAGGGATGTATAAATTTCCAACATTGCAGTCCAGTCCAACGGCCACTTTATTCTCCTCTGCAATTCCACAGCTGATGTATTTATCTTCCTGAAATAATGTCACAATATTAAAGCACATCAATGGCAAGAGTCCATTAAAGGGCATCAGCAACACAAAGAGCTAAAAGCTGCCTGTGATATCTGAGACAGATTTGAACAAGAATTACTGAGACAAAATGAAAATACCTCTAGTACTTTGATGAAATGCAGGTTGCTGGGAAACCTCAGATGAAGTCTGGGTAGAAAAGCATCATCTCCACTGTTGACTATTGTGGTGTTTAACATGAAGCTTTTTCCATTACCCAGAGCTAAATATGGCATTTTCATGTAGGATCTGTTGGGAAAACAGTTATTTAGATTTTAAAGTTTAGATTTGATCCATTCTTTAGTCCATATAATTTAGTGAGATTGGCTCAGAGTGAAGTAAAGACTCGGATGGATGGATGGATGGACTTTGGCTACTGAACATCTTCATTTGAAAATTACATAACATGTTTTTTTTTTGTCTCAACGACAAAAACAGCTGAAATTTTTGGCCAAAAATGTCATAATTACAGATCTTTACAGCTGTTCAATATTTGACAAAACATTACATAATATGTTATAAGCTACTTTAAAAGTTAAAATTAATGAAGAACAATATCCATTAGAAAAAATAATTATTAATAGACTTTTAGTAAATATTTAAAACTAAAATGTAAAATTAGCATTTTTGCATTGTTATTAATAAAATTGTATCTTTTATTATAAATGGACTAACATAGTTTTATTGTTTAAATATGTGTATTATAATTAAATATTATATTCATGTAATTATATCCGGTGCAATATTTGTTTAAAAAATAATTGTTTGTCTCCAAGTTTAGTGTAAAAAAACTGCTTTTCCCTAAGGTATATATTATTAAGCTCAAATCAAATTATGTTATGTGTATGACAATCTAAGGTAAAATTTCAAAATCCTGACAGATAGTATAAGTTATTAATATATTGCGAAAACTGGTGCAAAAGCAAATATTCAGTGTCTTTGCAACCAACTCCTCTTGATTTTTTTCAGGGTTTGTTAATTGAATTTTTTTAATAATTTTTTTTATAAGAATACTTCGTTTATATATATTATATAGTTCATTTTAGAATATTTGCAAGACTCATTTTTCTATAATTTAAAGGAAAAGAGTGTGTTTTATAGCCAGTGTTTTTCCTGCATCTGTTTGTGTATCTTGTGCACTGAGGGCTCAAGCCTGATGTTTCTCATCTAAAGGCACCAGGTGCATCTGGGAGACTGACAAGCCACTCTCCCCCTCACTCTCTTTCCCTCTCTGACACACACACACACACACACACACACACACACACACACACACACACACACACCTTATGAATAATCAGATCATGTATTATCACCAATGGGTGAGGGGGGTCCATAAATTAGTTTGCATACGGCTGCAAACATGATCCAAAATGCTAATGTGCACACTCACACTTGCGCCTAAATTGGGTGAGTCCAAGAAATGCGATGCATAAAATGCCTCAATATAAAGCTTTGGCTACTGTGCATGCTGCTTTAATGCGTGTATTCATGAGGACCAGATAATCTCAGAAACCCTCATGTTGGTCACGAACAGAACCAACACAACTAGAATATTTACAGACGTCTCTAGTTGTTCACCGCGCAAGAAAGTCAAGAAAATGAAAGAAATTCTGTTTGTAATGCCAATTTTAGAATTATTACGATTTTTTTTGTTGCCAATAAATACATTTTCCTCCAAAATTATCATTACCATAATGCAAATGTAATGTAATTTGTAATTTGTAAATGTAATTTGCTTTACTGAATACAGTAATAAAAATCATTTTGTCCTGACGCATAAATATATATATTTTTTTTTACAAATGCTTCAAATTTGAAAGCATACAGTTACTTTACATACTATTATTTTACATTAATCAGACTGAGATTTTTCTTTTCAACAAAACAGAAAGGATTTGGGAGGGAAAGGTGCATTTAACGTGACAATGCACAAAATCGAAGTCGTCATAAAACCAGCTTCGTTTTCTTTACACATTTTTTATTTGATTTGATTTTGTGGTGTACTATGAAACAGACATTTCTCAGCGATTTCCATGAGATTCACCCACTTAGCACCGATTATGTGAAGATAACTTACTGGGGTAAAACCAGATGAGCAGAAACCTGAAGGTTGGTTGAACAGTTTTCCAAGCCGCAATATCTGGCAAAGATGGTCTACAAAAAGAACGATTTCAAATCAGAACGCCTTATGACCTATGCTGAGGTTAATAAAGTGGCCACAAAAATGAACCACAATAACAAAACAAGAGATGGAGAAGAAAAACTGACCTTGTTTTTCACGACATTGGCCAGTTCATCCTTCTGCTGTAGAATGGGTTTGAGGGAAGGCAAATCCCCCGAGTCCCTCTGTGTCAAACGGTGCTCTCCAAGTTCATATTTCACCTCAAAATGGATGGGTGTGAAGATATCACGGACATCTTTCTGCATACAAGAGAAATGAAACATAAAAACAAAATGATTACTTTTTCTGAAGAAAATAACGAGCGCTTGCCCATCCAAAACTCACCTCTCGAATGCTAAGACTGCCATTGTGTTACAATACAGTTCCTAAGAGTGTTTTTTTTTTTTTTTTTTTTTACATTTTCACACTTTTCAGGGTCCAATTCTCACTATTAACTAACTATTAACTACAACCTTTGCCTTGATAAACTCCTAATTACTGCCTATTAATAGCTAGTAAGGTAGTTGTTAAGTTTAGGTATTGGGTAAGTGATGTAGAATATGGTCATGCAGAATAAGGCATTAATATGTACTTTATATATACTAATAAACAGCCAATATCTGATTAATATGCATGCTAATAAGCAAGTAGTTAATACTGAGAATTGGACCCTAAGCTAAAGTGTACCATGGAATTGTTACTTTTATTCAGTAAGGAAGGATGCATTTAATTGGTAAAAAGTGACAGTAAAGACATGTATAATATTACAAAGGAATAAAAAAAAAAAAAAAAAATGCTGTTATTTTGAACTTTCTATTCACAGAGAATCTTGAAGAAAAAAAAACTATCACGGTTTCAACAAAAATTGAAGGCCACAACTGTTTTGAACATTGATAATAATAATAATAATAATAAAAATCTTGATCAAATCACATATTATAATAATTTTTGGAGGATCATGTGACACTGAACACTGGAGTAATGATGCTGAAAATTCAGCTTTGCATCACAGGAATAAATGACCTTTTTAAATATATTAACATAGAAAACAGTTAATTTAAACTGTAATAATGTTTCACAATATTGCTGTTAATAATCTATTTCTGATCAAATGAATGCAGCCCTGATGATCATAAGAGATTTTGTTCGAAAACATTGCCGACCCCAGACTTGTGAACGGAAGGAAGTGTGTGTGGTATTTTGACTAGACTTTTTTTATTCCTCCTTAATAATCTTAACTTCCCTCACCTCAGTGCAGATAATTAATGCAGGTAAGGTTTGCTCTGTCAGCTGTGATGGCCGTCTCTAATTGGGGGCTCAGTGTTTGGGAGTTGTCCTGTGGGGTCTCTGGGGCCTGTATTTAGCTGCAGGGGAGATGTGTGACCGGGGTTTTGGAAGCCTCTTCTATGGCCAGTGTAAATGAGCTGGACTGCAGCCACAACCACAGCCTCAGAGAGACGCTAATTTCTGCAGCAAAGGCTAAACTCAAAGTCAACGCTGTGAACTTGTGTCCTTCGCTCAGAATCTGGTCAGTGAATTCAGTCATACACACATGTGCACACACACATCTAGTTTGTCACTGGCATGTCTGACCTCATGGGCTGACAACTGATATTTCAAAGAAACGGATGACTTTATCAAGGGCATTTGCAAGAGCATGAGAATGACTGGGTGGGTGTTTCCTTCACACCTACATTCAGCACCAAGTCAATTTTGCTCAAAACAAGAACTGAAAACGACACCTTCCTTTTTAAAACCCACGCCTCGCACATTTGCAACTCTCAATGACAACATATGTTAATAAGACAACAGCACTTTAATGTATCTTCAGTTTTGGGTGGAGAAGAGTTAAATGCAACTTAAACTTGATTACCACAGACAGTAATATGAACTTGTCACTTAGTTTGTGAACACTTTTGTATTTCCAGTAATGTATTTGCTGAAATCTAGCAGGAAAGTGTGCCACAGGGTTTCAACCAGAAAAAGGCAAGTTAATGTTTGTATAATAGCACTTATATGAATTATTCGATATATAAACACTTGTTATTAGAGATGTAAAGTTGTCTAAATCCTCCTTTTGAGGTGGAACATTTATATTTATGAATTTGGCAGATGATTTTATCCAAAGCACCTAACATGCATTCAGAGTATACATTTCACCAGTTCATGCATTCCTTGGGAATCAAACCCATTACCTTGGCGTTGCGAGTACCATGTTCTACTGGTTGAGATTAAGGACTGCACTTAAACTTTGCTCCACTAAAACAGCACTTTACAGATAGTTATACACCCAAGAAAACAAAATTAAAGCTTTGAGACCATCCGTATGTTGTGTACTAATAAACAGTTACAAAATGTTACTTAAAGCTAAATTAAATTTGGTCAAAAAAATTTATGAATCATCTTGTTCTGTAAAAGACATACACTACTGTTAAAAAGCTTGGGGTCAGCAAGAGGATGCATTAAATTGATCAAAAGTGACATTTATAAAATATTTATATTCCAATGCTCTTCTTTTGAACTTTCTATTCATCAAAGAATCCTGAAAAAAAAAAATGTATCACAGTTTCCACAAAAGTATTAAGCAGCATAACTGTTTTCAACATTGAAGATAATAAAAAAAAAAAACTGTTTTTTGAGCACCAAATCAGCATGTTAGAATGATTTCTGAAGGATCATGTGACACTGCAGACTGGAGTAATGATGCTAAAAATTCAGCTTTGCCATCACAGGAATAAATTAAATTCCTAAATATATTAAAATAGAAAATCACCTGCCTCTGACTAGCTTTGATGTAAACAAAGACTATGTAAAAAAAAGAAAGAAAAAGAAACAAGCCATTAGATACGTCCTACCCAAACTTCCTGTTTCAAAAGGGGACATTCATCAAGATGAGACGGCATCTTGTAGTATTTCAAGGCAATAACAGATATGTATAAGCTCACTAACAGACTTCAAAAAAGATAACAGGGGTCGAGCAGTCACCTTCCTAAAACGCAGCACAAGATGTCCGCCACATCTGCTACGCGTTCCATTCGTCACTCTCATTGCCCATTAATTAAGCCCTAAAATACCTCAAATGTAGCAGCCTCGTTGTTTGGGGTTTGCCTCTGACAGATAATCACACTTGTTTATGGCCTTCGTTTCCATCAGCAGCCATTAATAACAGCGCAGTCATCACGCGCCTCCATTAATTACTGTGTAAAACATGAGCTGGATCAGATGGCCCTGATTACAGGAAAAGACAGAGGGAGAGGCGTCCAGAGAGGCCCACCAAACACCTGGAACATTCACTCATACTCACGAAGCCATCTATCCGCACTTCATCAACTGTCTAGGTCTCTTCCTATCTGTAACCGTTCTCCCCCATGCCGTCCTGCCTGGCTCTTCCTCTTGTTCTCCAGCAGCGACAACCTGCTATCGACTCCAACAAACTATCTATATGAGCCTCTTTATCATCCTGGCCTCCTGCGTGGAGTCACGCTGTAAACCTAGAGAGAGTCACACCACCTGGGCCTTTCAGAGAGGCTGATTAACTCGAGCATGAAGAGCAGAGTGACGTGGGCGAATCACAGCTGTGTGTCTGAGTCAGCACTTTCATATCCAGTGTCCAAGTCTATAACGCACATGTGGGGTGATCAAAGAAATCCTTAGCGTCGAGTCCTGATATATTAAAGGAACAGCTAAATGTGACATTTATTATACTAGGTTTATGTGAAGGTCACTCACATAATCAAGTATTGTTATAATTTTTTTGCTAATATTAAAATTTTTTGAAAGTTCTACATTTCAATTTGACATTATACAATAATAACTGAAATTTAAATAAATTAGAACTAATAATAAAAATAATAATAAAAAAACAATAGTAAAAATGACAAAAGCACATAGCAAGATTGCTAAAAATCTAATTGTAAATAAAATGAAAACTGAAAATATAAAAATATAAGCTAATTCAAAATATTAATTAATACTGTAAAACAGTAGTGTCTAAAACAGCGTCAGTGTCAGTTGATAATAATAACATTGTCAGGGTAATGCATACAGTTTTATAACTTTAAATATGAAAAAAAAAATTAAGCAAAGTATATAGTACCACTGCGAATTCTTTTTAGGCGTAAAGCAATAATGACAATGTAATACTCTAATCTGTGTTAAAAGTCCCATCCCCCATCAAAGGTAATGAACATAAATAGAGTCTCGCACCTTCATGAAGGCCTGATGGGAAGTGCAGGTGAGCTGCTCATGCTTGGCCTTCACTCGGCCCACCGTGACATTTGATGTTCCGTTTCCGCTGAAATAAAATCGAGATGGAAAGCCCTCTTTGTGGTGAACGTCAGCTGTTAGGTTGTACTTCAGTTCTGCACAGGAAAGAGTATGATGTTCAGAGACAAAGTTAGAATTAGACAACATGTTAAATCACAACAATTTAACATTACAATTCAGAATCGTGTTGCACTCTTATAGCGAACCCCTAGGGGTTTATGATGTGACTGCAGGGTGTTTTGTAAGATTCTGAAAAACTAAATTAAAGAGTGTACACTACCGTTCAAAAGTTTGGGGTTGGTAAGGTTTTATAATGAATTTGAAAATTCCTTCAGAAATCATTATAATATGCTGATTTGCTGCTCAATAAATATTTATTATTATCAATGTAAAAAAAACGAAACATTTGTGCTGCTTCATATTTTTGTGGAAAATGTTATTTGTTCAGGTTCAGACTTTTGTAACATTAGAAATGTCTTTACTGTTTTAATCAATTGAATGCATCAGTACTGAATAAAAGACAGAGTCTTAAAAAAATCTTACTGACCCAAATCTTTTGATCAGTAGTGCATGTCACAATACATCACAATACAGTTATTTTTGCTGCAAAAAAATAAATAAAAAATTAACACCTATTTTGGATAATCCAGTCAAATAAATCCTTTACAAATGAAAGGTATCTCATTTAATAATTTTCTGGTTAATTACAAATTAATTATCAGGTGGCATCAGGTTAAAATAGAACAACTACTATTAGTAAATGGATAGAATTATGAATCTAGAATTTTGAGTCAAAGACGTTATGATATTCCTCTGTGATTGAAAACAACTAAACTACCACGAGGCAACAGCTCTTCTCAATCTTGACTTGTCTGGGATACTTCATTCTCACACACGCTAATAACGCACAGCAGTCCTCTTTCCATCTGCAGCGGTATAACAGTATTGCAAAACCTCTGGGTGGCAGATTTCTACCATCACTACTTCATATCAGTTTCAAGATCATTAATATTTGTCATCAAGCATGGCTCTGTTGTTTACTTAGTGTTCAGTGAGTGTGGCTCTATCAGTGAAGGCAGGCCTTGACACACACCCTGCGTCCTCTAACCGCCACAACAAAAGATGGGATTGTGCGGCAGAGATAAAGAGCTGGGAAAGAGGTCTGAAACACAGAACTGCCACGTGCTGATAAGACGAGCCAACACACAGCCTCTCGCAAACAAAGAGCTCTAGTCCAAAACGTTCATCCTTGAACGCTGTGTACTCAATTCTAAGAAGAACACGTGTGTGTGGAGCTCAAAATATCAGAGGACATTTTCGCATCTAAAAAAGTCTGCAGGAAGTTTCAAATGATCTTGCATCAGTCTGTTGCACAAATCTCACGGCATGTGGATTTGGAGAGAATTTTAAGTCATGGGTTCTGTCTTCAAAACACTTTTCAAATTAAGATTAACATAAGAGTAGATCTGATGGAATATCACTGTCTTACCTATGTTTCCTGGGATTTGTTTCCCTCTGACTCTAAAGCACACGTTAACATTGATGCACACGGCAGGAAGACCGTTGTCAGTACACTGGGCTATGGAACGGTTCAAGCTGTCAGGCATCAACATGACAGCATCCACTTTCACCACTGGACGCGTCCTGAAACAACCAGAGTTACTGGGTTTATCATCAGATCAACAAATTAAAGAAAGAAAGAAACATCCTGTGCCAGCTGAAGCATCCTTTTTTTTCATTGCCAATAACGGTGAAATTGTTTGAAATTTAATGGGGGTTTTTTCTGTAGAAAGGCTATAAAATAAACAGCTTCATTGGAGTAAATACTATGCCCAGTCTTCACTCCAGCTAGGCCTGGAATAGGAAAATGCTGACTTCTTTGCATTTACTGTGCTGATTTTAGAAGATTGAATTGAGCTAAATGTTCTATAGTCTTATTGGCAACTGAAAATATAATAAATTTAGCTTAAACAAATTCCCATAGCAAATACCACATCTTAAAGCCTTAAAGTTACCAAAGCAAGTGTGAGTGAAATTTCTGCTGTTTTTACCTGAACACCACAGCTGAGTCTGACAGGAAAGCTCCCACAGCAACATCTGGATGAGAACATAAAAAATCCCATAAACCACACATGACTTGGTTATTCTTTAACACATTCATTACTCACTGGTGCTCTGATATTCTTTAAAAAATTAAACATTTCTACAAGGTCACAGTTGCAAACCTACTTTACAAAAGGGATTGCTGTTCAGTTATAAAAAAAAAAGTTTTTATTTTTTGTCTCTTCCTGATTTTGTACAACATTTTCAAGAAGCACTTCACAGTCAACGCCCACAACATATTTGATAAAAAAAGCTGTTGTGCAAACATGAGGTGTTATATTTTGGCCATGTACGTACACACAGCAGCTACATATGCTTGCTGCTCTTCATTTGTGAATACATTTTGGTTTCCAAAAATTCAGGGAGTGACGACCGCATTTACATTAAATACAAGTGTGAGAACAGTGAGAACAGAACTGAAAAACTAGGCAAGGCAGTGACACCATTCTCTTTTACACACTAATGATTTGTTAAAAAAAAAAAAAGCTAACAGCAGACACCCTTCAAAATTTGGGTTCAGTAAGATTTTTTTTATGTAAACTGCATTTATAAACAGTAAAACAGTAATAATATGAAACATTATTACAATTTAAAATAACTGTTTAAATTCTAATTTATTCCTGTTGCAAAGCTGAATTTTCAGCATCATCACTCCAGTCTTCAGTGTCACATGATTCTTCAGAAATCATTCTACTATGGTGAAACTTTTATTATTTGTTTATCAATTTTGAAAACAGTTGTGCTGCTTAATATTATTGTGGAAACTGTGATAATTCTTTTTCAGGATTCTTTGATGAACTTTTGTAACTTTGTAAATGTCTTTACTGTCACTTTTGAACAATTTAATACATCCTTGCTGAACAAAAGTATTAATTTCTTTTAAAAAAATCTCTGACTTTTGAGCCGTATAGTGTAAGTTGAACTGTTGCCATCCATTCATCTTATTCACAGAGGAATCATATCCTATTTATGTTGTTGTGTTAAAAGTGTTACCTGGGTAATTATTGCCATCAATATCAACTCCTCCAGACACTGATTGGCCAAACATCCTGAGGTTGTAGCCCAACAAAGAGCCTGTTATTCTCTGCAATGAAGAAAGCACAAAGACAGCATTCAGAAGATATTTAGATTCAGGATTTTACATCATAAATGCCAATGGAGTTGTACTGTACTCCAAGAGACATGCAAATGATCCTATTTATGACCGGTTTTACATTCATTTCATAAATGGGATGAAGGTAAACTGATTTAGCGATTTGATTTATAATGGACAGCTACACAAATCTAGTGAAGACGTACTGTAAATTAAAGTGGGGCTTGATGGAATAAGCGATGTAAGCAGTCTCTTATATATTCTTGCATTGTGGTTGGCACATTTAGATGCCTTTAATTTACATTTATTACAGAGTTCTCTGGAATACTTGATTCTGATTGATCAGTCAGTTTATTTTGCAATAATGACCGGACGACTTCATATTGTGCCTTACTTTTCCGCTTTTCAGACACACAAACTGACAGTGCATTCAAGGCATTTATTTGATCAGTTTGTGTTACATGGGAATCAAACCCATGCTTGTGCAATGCTCTACAATAACTGGAAAGCCACAGTATTGTTATAAGCTAATCACTAAAAACATCCTGCATGTAATCATTTTGGCCTGATGTTAATATAATTAGATGAAGCTCTTCCTAAACATCCGTTTATAACTTTTGATTTGTCAAGCATGCACTGAGCACTTCTTGAAGCTACATGTGGAGAGAGAGGGATTTCAGGAAATTACAGCAATTAGACTGGACGCTTTCCTCTTAGTACTCCAGTGTAGACAGAGAGAACATGAAAGACCCAAAACAATAGGGAAGTTCACACTGGATGGGGACAACTGCTCAGGTCTAACTTTTCCCGCCTTTAATATCAGTATAAACTGCAGATGGAGAACGTACTTGAGAGAAACTTTGTGCAATACCACTTTTCCTCCCATTGTAGATATATATAGCACCATGCAGATCGTCCTCCTGAGGGGCTCCAATGGCCACATCTGAAACACAGGTATAATTGCATTAGCTTTGTTCCAACACATAGTGAGCAGTCTAACAAGACACACATTTTAAGACATCATATAGGCACTATCGAAAACAAAGACTGTTCCAAAAGCTATGCAGCATAGATATGCAACTTATAAGACTAAAAGTTTGGTATAAGATTTTTTTTTAAATGTTTTTGTAATAAGGTTTTGAGCGGTAGTGTGCCAACTTTTGGTCAAATTCTAATGTAGCATTGCATTATACATTATACTATGGGAAAAGGTATTCCCATAATGTAGTGCAGGCTCAGTAAAACATTCATTCACAATGTGAGAGTAATCATTACAAATATGTGTAAAAGTAGTGTAATTTAATTCATTAAAAATACCCCAAATCTTGTGTGCTATATATTTGTAGGTTTAATAGAATATCTCAGAATATCAACTGCCTATGTAGGTAATAGGTTTCAAAGCAGAGCAAATTTAAATATGCCATTAAGAGTTTCTAACCATGAAAACATTATTTATATAAATAATTTTGTTGTAAAAATGAATAGTTTATGCTGATGCACTGGCAAACAATTTGTTAGTTTAAGTATGTGTGAGTGGGCATGTTTTACTCTCTCAAGAGTGTTTTTTCTGTGGTGTTTTATTGTAACTGCGTGACCATGTTCCTAACCAGGTTCCGTTTTTTAAACCACACCAAACTCTAAAATTAGATTTACCAAGCTCATCTCCAGATTTGAGTCAGAGATTAACTGATATCTCACCATGAAACAACTCATGAAGATGGGGTTTCATTAATAGCTGACAGGCTTTTCAATGTAAAGATTACACAGAATGAGGAAATAAACAAAAATTAGGTTTACCATCAAACCTTACTTGAGGATCAAACAAACACCCATAAGTGTCATTTTAAAATACAGCAAAGCATAATATATTATATTTTTAGGACACTCGGCTAGTCAAATAAAGCAAATCAGCATAAAAAACGTCCAAACTGTGAAGGTTTATAAAGGTTCCATACTCAAACATTGATGTATTAGATATACTATACCTGGATATCCATCATCGTCAATATCACCAAGGTTTATGATGGTTTCTCCAAATCGTGCTGCATAAGAGTCGCTGCCGACTAACTCAAAGTCTGCCTCTCTCAATTTAGCCTGAGAAAGAGACACAATGACACTAAGGATATTTTCAAGAGAAGCATCATAGTCGTAGTGTGTGTAAGGCTGGGCAAGACTTAGACTTCCCCTGGCCACGGACTTGAGACTAGCTGCTTTTAGAGGGAAAAGTCGCCCATAACTGCTGGTCTAGGATAATAATAGTATATTGGTGGAACAGATTTGGCAAACGATCCAGTGTGTATCTGTGTTTGCGGTCTGGAGAACGGCAAAGGTTTCTATTTACAATGTGTTTTTTGAAGCATTGAGCAATGTAGCCAATCACAAACCCATCTGTTGATTTCTTGAAGCAATGGCCAGTCAAAGGTATTTAAGTTTGCACTACACAAAAAGTTCTGAGTTCTGCACACTCGCAAATCCTCTCATTATAACTAACAAAGTGTAGACATTATGTAAATAAGAGATTCATTGTGCAGTTGGCTTCACTGAATGGAACTTGGTGTGATTGCGATGAACTAAGATGAGTGACAGCTTTCTAGCCATTTTAAAGGGAACGCTCTTTGCACGCTTTCTGCCATACCAAATCCCACATACAGTATACTTGCTTTTGAATTAAAACTAACAGTGGCTTGTAATGTAGACACTTTAATAACAAATATTTATTGGGAGTGTTTATGCTGGAATGTGTAGGTTGTGCAGTGACACTTTAAAGTATTTCAAGGAAATTTAAATGTGTTTTTAAAGGAGAAGCGCATCTCCTATTGGTTGTTAATTTTTTACCTTTTTGATTTTTAACCTGTTTTTTTGGTATGGCCTTGGTGGTCACGATCAAAGCCAGAATACATCCTTTACACAGAACACAATAAGATAAGACAGCTCAAAATATGTAGATGTGTCATTTTCTCACATGCATTACAATGGAGCTCAAAGACTTCTGACATCCTAAAATTAACAATATAGTTATATAGAATATATGGGTGAATCTCATAAAACCTAGAAAAAAAACACATTCCAGTCATATTTTCAAAAGAGGGAAAAAATTCATAACGCTTAAAGAAAATTAAGCCAATATTTAAGACTATTACAATATTATTTTCACTTAGGCACATTTTCTCATTAAATTCTGGAACAAAAAATAATTAAGAAAAATTAACATAAAAGTATGCTTACACCTGTACTACAAAAAACTTCTTCCTCAGAATCTTTTTTTTTTTTTTCAGTACAAATATCTAAACATTCTCTGAATCAAGATACAACTATTTGAGAAGCAAAATTACATAAGATATTACATATTGTTTTCTGAAAAATATTAATCAAAATTAATTGAATTTACACTTAAAACGGGAAAAAATATCTGCCAACATAAACTTATAGAGAAATATATATAAATTACAGAAGAATTAAGTTAAGTTTATTTTTCCTACCCCACTGGCAGATATTTTTTCTATTTTTAAGTCACTTAGTTGTGATCCTTTTTTCAGGAAACAAGACTTAATACCTTAAGTAATTTTGCTTCTCATGTAAATGTATATTGATTTAAGAATCTGTAGATATTTTTCTACTGAAAAATAAGACGAAAATACTAAGGAAGAAATTTTGTTTTTGCAGTGTAGTATTTGCTGTACTGCCCTTAATTTATGCTAATATATATATATATTTAGATATCGCTGCCTCACCTCTCCCTGGTTTATGTAGACATGCACACGTCCCTCCTCCCTCACTGAGCTGAACATAGGAGCCCCCACCAACAGATCGGACAGTCCGTCTGCATTCAGGTCGACAGCACATACACTAGCTCCATAATAAGAGCCGAGCTGTAAAAAGGAACAAACATCCCCATTGTGATCACTCAGCAAGAACATCCCTTAAGAACACTTAAAATTCTTGAAATTTCTTACCTTCTTGCCCTTGGTTACATTAACAATTTTTAAAGTGTTGCCCTCAATCCTGAATATGTAGGCCTGGAGTAAAAGAAAACACAGGAGTATGGGAAATGGGAACACTAACAACAGCAGCATAACAATGGATTGCATATGCTGGCGATTGTTACATTTCCGTATAGTTTAATCACAAATATACATGGTAGGTCCCTGATAACTCATTTTCCAGTCTCGGTTTCTTTGGTAAAGTCATTAGATACCAGACAAAACTCATAAACACTGCAAACTCAGCACATCTGAAAAAAAAAAAAGTACTTCCTCTTCCGCACAGATGGAAGAAGAGTTCAGTTTAACCGATTTACCGTTCACAACTGCCTCACAGAGCAGATGTCAAGAGGGTTTCAGATCTAAAACCATTTTATACACAACCACCTGGAATCTCTGATATTCAGTATGGGGTATTCAAAAGTGTACAAAAGCCTGCATGTCTAACCAAACTAGAGAACTTTAACACTAAACTACTCCAAAAACTTGGGTCTGTGCTAATAATCAGATAGGTGAAGATGATGATGGTGGTGGTGGTGATGTTAACCCTTACTTTACCAGTCTGTTCATGCTGGGGAGCACCACCCACTATCTCAGTACTTTGAGGATCTAGAAAGTGTCCGGCACCAACAGCATAACCTGAGGGGAAGAAAACCAAACATGGTGGTGAAACATTCAAACAGGCCATTCAGAGTCTGCACAAACACTGTAAAAACAGTAAAAAAAATAAATTGGTAAGAGAAGTTTTTTTTTTAAAGAAAGCTATACCTTCCTAAACTAACCCCAAGTTTTCTGTAAAGCTTGAAACCAGGCGTATTGCGAAAAGCACTATACAAATAAATACGACTTGACTTTGACTACTTTACTTTAGGAGATGAACCAAAGAAATCACATGTACATAAAGTAAAACCAATGACTAAAATGAGGAAGTTTGTTTACAAAGTATGAGCAGGTTGCCAAGAGCCGAAAAACAAAGTGACACGTTCGCCTAGTAACTGTATCATATTTTGCAACAATTTGATGCTCCTGGATTGTGCAACAGTGTCTGTTTCCTGTTCATATAGAAAGACGTTATGCCTCCTAACAGCAAAAATCTGTTTCCTGCTGCAAGTCTTAAGACTGATGATCATTGGAGAATGTTTATCTTTAATTTTAAACATTTTATTCAAATTAGATCACTGTATCCCTTAACCCCAAAAATAGAAAGCACTTATTTCTTAGCAATATCATACATAAACCATTATATAAAATAGGCCATAGCTCTGTTACAAAACCTAGTAAGTTGACTTGCTGTGTACTGCCTACATAGGCAAATGCCTTCTAAGGAAGTTTCCTAGCCATCATGAAACCTCATAAATGACCGATCTGAGCTAAAAGTTACACGCGGCCTTAGAATTTGAATAAAATTAAGTATCTTATGAGGCAGGACAATTAAGTCGCCTACAGTTTGTATTTATGATGCCTCATAATGTTGCCTACTATGATTTGAAACAAAGCGAATAACATTAGGAGCTTGAGAACTCACCTAAATAACTTCCATAGAGAACTGCACTGTCATCATCCACATAAGCAGCTGATATGTTGCTTGTGGTGTTGGTGACAAGAACGGATCCTGTCCAGTATGAGGTACCAGGAGCTCCCATGACCATCAGGTCCTACAAACACAATACATCATTACCAAATCAACTGAATTCAATCACAACTCAATCAAAATGCCATAGAAGCTCTGAATACCTCTGTGAATAAGTTTGATATTCCTGCTTGGCATGATCCATAACCTTCACCAAACTTCCTTTGATGGTCTAAAGAGAGAGAGAAAAAACTTTGAGAAAATTGGTGCTCACTTGACACTAAGGAGCTTCAAATGGTGCTATAAAGTAATTATGCTGTGTTTGAACCGGTGAACAACAATACAACCAACACAGCAGTAATTGAAATGTGTACCTTTATAGCAGGGGATAATACGAGTGACGTGTTTCAAGTCTGGGCTGAATCTGAAGCAAATACCATGCGGAAGCTTGTTCTGATTGTCTTTACTAGAGTAGTAGATATTCTTCCACCGATGTCCACATGCCTAAATTTAAACCAGCATAGAGTAATCACCCATTTACTCATCATACATATTACATGTGGTCATTCATTCATTCATTCATTTATAATTTATTGGCGCCTTTCATGACACTCAAGGTTGCCTTATAAGTCTTCCTACAACATCAATATAACAAAAACAGACAATGCAAACTATAATATACATTAAGACACTAAGGAATAAGACTGAGGTCCACCAATAATTGTATTGTTTGCTCCAAAACAATTTAGTTTATTAACATTTTGCACCTTCTCTATGAACCTTAGAAGTAAACAGGAGATTTTCCATTTAAAATTATTAATCATAGTTATGCATTTACTCACAAGGTAGCACAATTAAGAATGTATGCTTTGACAGTTAGACTAAAAGACATACCAAAACATGGCCTTTTGAGGGCTGCCGGGACAGACTTACACCCAGCCACTGGTTATCATTCTCTGCCAAACAGTGTTTTCCACAGCGCTGTACATCTCCTGAAATCATTCAGTGCAATGTGCCCAAATTAAAATACAATCAATCCAAAACGTTTACTTAGAGGAAATTGTGCAACATGTTAGAGATGCAGAGATGTTATACATGCAGATGCAGTACAAATGTTTTTCACCTTAAGCAAATTCACACCTCTGGTTCACACACCAAACAACACAGGATGAGAAGCTTGTGGTGAAACTTTCAAACAGAAGGCAATAAATAGCTTTAAAAGTATCATGTAGTGATGAAAAAGAAAATACTGTGCTTTTCTGAGACATAAGGGAACTGGAGATAAAGCATAAGCTTTGCCCTTTTGAACTCTTGTTATTACAAACCATATTATTAAACTGTTAATTCTAACATCAAGACCCGTTCATCAAGGACGATAAATATAAAGATAACGATAAAGTTCTAAAAATCATTCTATATATAAAAGAATAGCAGAGTCCATACCACAACTATAACGATAACAGGACGGCACAGAGAAACAATATTATCGGAATCACTTTCAGAATGATTTTTCTTTCCAATTAATGAACAATAAAAAACATTGACAGCCAATCAGAATCCATCCTACTTTATAGAGCTCGAGCATTTAAAGTGGCAGACGACTGGTTTGGACACTAATATAGTTATCATAATAGTTATATTTATAGTAATCATTCTTAGTGTGAACAGGCCTTTAAGATTGTTAACAGCAACTAGATCTGGAAATTTTCTGAGGAACAAATGTTGCCAATTTGAGGAAAATGTGTGTGGTTTTGTGTGGTGTGGTTTTCTCAGTGTGGTCTTGTTGATGGTTGCCAGGGTTTTGCATGTGGTTGCTAAGGTATTTTGAGCGGTTTTAGCCTGTGGTTGATAGGGGGTTGCATACTGGCCCAAATAAAAAAAAGCCAAATCTGGTCCCTCAATATGGCTCTCAATACAAGTCTATTATATATATATTTTTAGCCATTTTATCGTTCACCAGGGGAAACAGGGGACTCCTCAATAAATCGATTCATGTTTAAAGAACAAAGAGTGCAATGTGGATTACATGCTAAATTTGATACTTATGGCTAAGGGTTTTTCATACTTGTTCAAGTATGAGCAATAAAAATAGTGATACTCGTCTTAGCAAATGTCACTAATAATGAAACCTTTTCAGACACATCAACTGAACACAATTATGGAAATTGGTTGTACTCCAGCCCAGAATGGCTTGGAAATAATTTGTTTAATGGCATTTTATTTGCGTGCTATATATATCTTGTAGCTTGACCTACAAAGATGACTATCCCCCCATCCCTTGTTTCGGGCAGGGAGTATAAGCATCCTCTTCCTGACAGGAGGAAACTCTCCAAAGTCTGGTCAACCCTCGTGGGGAATTCATTCACAGGACGTATTCACAGCCAGGGGTCTAGTAAGCACACGAGTTCAGTCAGAGCGAATTCAGAAGTGTGAAGTCTAAACAGTATAACGTGGCCAAATGGAAATGCTCAACTGTTCTGAGTTAGTCTACAACAAACAGAAGGACAAAGAAGAGGGAGAAACCCCAATGAGCATTGTTACACTAAGTAAAATGTTCAAGTACATTCAAATATTATAAAATGTCATTAAATGATTTATTTATTGTCTGAGTCTACACATGGAAATGCTTATTTTGTGCATGTTTTCATTATATTATGAGAGTTATAAAATCAGTGAAAAGTTAAATTGGAAATTTCAGAATGTCTTTGTTTTGTAATTTGGTTCATCCACCTTTTGCTTTAATGACTTTAGGTCAGCAGACATGAACAAAACATGATGATTACAGTATGTTCTCCAACATGATTTTAGAACGATTCAAAGGGAATCTCGTGCTTCAATTGAAGCAAAAATATCTGAAATTAATAAAATACTAAAACTTTTTGGGTTTGGGTTTTTTCTGGGTTTAAATGGGATTGTTAAGCTTTGGTTAACTTTTGGATCCCACATCAACTTCAACAAGAACATTGTTTAAAACGAACCTCTGCCATTCAGAAAAAGACAACAATCAACAAAAGCTGAACTTCTGAAGGTAAGAGAGGGAAGACCTACCAACATGGAGCTGCTCACATTGGGAGGTCAACACACTGCAGTTGTAGATGGCTCCAGGATTTTTGGTATGAGGATAAAAGCTGGAATCAGCCACAGGCGCTCCAACTATCAGCCTTAACAATAAATATGACAATAAATACAGTCTACCACTTGAAGCTGGATAGTTTAAGCATAAAATGTCTTTAGTGACCATTTGTAACCAACATCAAGATTTTACAAGGAATGATTCATTATAAATAGTCCTGCAGTGTGACAAATGATTTTAAGTACAAATATATAGTCTCTGAATTATTAATTGATCAAAAAAAGCAGATAATTACAGATAATTAGCATTCTACAATATGAATTCAGGGTCAGATATTAACCAGGGCTCGGGACAAAAGAAACTGTCACAGATATGCTCATGTGAGATATACAGTTCTTCTGCAACATTTGATACCTTTTCACAATATTCCACTAAGGCACATCTTGGTTAGTTCATCATTTCAGAATTTGACTTTGAATTAAAAACTATTAATAATGTGAATGTGAAGAACCACTCTCAACAGCTCTTGAAACAGTGATTAGCTGCATACTGTGTCAGACAGTCACTGGACAAATGTATTAAACATATGCTAGCTGACGTTTAATGTTGAGTGCAAAGGTGAATTCCATAATTATTCACTATATTATTTATTTGATTCAACTTAAGTACTTGACATTAAATAGAAAACATAACCTAGTGAGAAATAAACTAAATCAACCTGAAAATCAATTTCATTTGGCAAATAGGCTATTAGTTTATTTCTCAAACTGGCTCAGTCACCCTTGACTGAAAACATAAAAACTTCTCATACACGTTTAAATCACTTACCATGTGTTCTCAGCATGCTGGTGAAGCAGAACCGAGTATCCGAATAATGATCCATTGGTTCCATTAAAAACTAAAGGATGCTCCACATCCAGATTGTAGCAGTCACACAGAATCAGCAGGTTACACAGGGTCCAAACTACAGATTTCCACCTCAGAAAATCTCTAGTGAGTTGTGATGAAATCATCTCGTCGTCAGTCATAGCACCACACACAGAATACAGAAGAGACCCAATGCTGACTTAAAACAAAAGTTTTAAAAATAAAAATAAACTTTTTGTTAATACATCAGGAAGTTGTCATTGTAGTTGTGAGCTCGCGATGTGCGCTCGCCTGTTGCGCTCCCTCATCTCATCTGCTCGAGAGCGCCGGCTCGCGCTTCATGACGTCACGCCGCTCTGAGTAAAAGGAAGCTTTTGAAGTGAGCGCGGGCGGGCGAGCCGCCGGGGCGTGACCGCGCTGAGAGCGCCGGACAGCGGACACTTCGACGAGCTCTAACGGTCTCCAGACTCTGGATAATGGAAAATGATGAACACCACATGTATTAACCGTCACATTTTCTGTTTGACGCCCCAAAACACATTAAATACCTCAAAAAAGTAGGAGAACTGAGGAAACACGATGTTGACTTGATGTTGATATTGTTTTTGTTTTTTTACTTTACTCATTTTTAATTTTACTTATTTAATGTTAGTTTTTTGGGGGGTATAATTTATTGTATTAATCTAATTCATAAACAAACAAATAAAACAATTTAATGCAGTTAAACATTCTTATATGTTATATTTGAAATTGCATTGCCTAAATTAACTAAGCATTAACTAATTCATTTTGTTGACCCTAAAGAGAAAAAAGGTTTCAATACTGAATAACCTTTTTGAAAAAAGACATGATTTTTTTTGTAGTAAAACGGAGATAAAATCTGCCTAGGGTTTTATTTGGTCAAACAAAAAGAATTTGAAGAGTGAATAAACTATTGAAATAACAATTTTTATTGCACATAGGCCTACTAGTTTTTTTGAAACAATGAGGAAGTCAATTTAAACGGCACTTGAAGGCTAGCAATAAAAATCACTTTTCAACAAGATTTTTCAAGTTCTATGGTTGACTTTATACAAAGTGCTTACATTTGTTCATAAACTTTAGATTTATAGGTCATGGAAGCAATTATGGAGGAATGCAATGGGTTTATGGACAGTTGGTAATGTCTTACAGCACAAAAAGTACACAAATAAAGTAGTGGTTTTTAAAAGCTTTGTGGAAGCTCACATAGTGCGCTGTCTGACTATCAAGCATATCATGACAAATCCTTTTTCACTTTTGTGAGAGCCTTATGACCATGACAAAGCATATTATTGCACATACACATACACACGGCCTTATTAAATGTGTGAGTCTCAGGCTGCCTCAGACACAATTCCCCTCTGAGTGATAATAGCAAGCGCACATGTGCTGTGCCTGTGGATAAGGAGCACAGTGTGAGGCCTGGGACATCATCAAGTTTCTTTAACTACATTTGTGTGTCACTATTTATTTATTTATTTTTGCTCTGAGACTCACAGTTTGGGTGTGCATTTCTTTCAGTACCTATCAATAGTTACAGCACACTCTCCTTCCTCCATATAGAGAAGAATCCACAGAGACCCTTTAATAAGTGTGAAAGAGAGACTTGTCTCTCTCCCTTACTCTGTTTTTGATAATGAGAGGCAATGAATGACCAGCCAGCTGCATCACTCGGTTATACAGGATTTTCTATTTTACATCTTAAAGGTGATGTTTCCTGAATAATGATGTAGTTGCGGCATCTACTGCCACTCAAAAGTTTGGGGATTGTAAGATTTTTTTATGTTTTTAAAAGAAGTCTCTTCTGCTTATTAACACATATGATTAAAATAGTCAAATTTTAATTTGTTCACGCTTAAAATTAGTGTTTTCTATTTGAATATATTTTTCAAATGTCATTTATTCCTGTGATGCAAAGCCGAGGTTTCAGCAGCCACTTCAGCCTTCAGTGTCACATGATCCTTCAGAAATCATGCTGATCTGGTCCTCGAGAAACCTTAGTAAGACTTTACTTAAACCCTTTATGGGTAATGCATTATAAAGGTATTCATATCAATGCATATCTTTTCACAAATAATTGTAACCAACATTTACAAACAAATATTATAACATTCACAGATTCCTTGTTAAATCTGAAATTGGTCGTTTGTCATGTTTTATACTTTCTAAAGGTGCATAAAAAATGTGTATAGGGTATATAACTGTATATATGTGATAACAATTATTCATGAGACCACAATGCATTGTAAGGTGCATTAAAGGCACAATTAATGCATTAAAAATACTTTTAAAATGCATTATACATAAAGGCTTTAAGTAAAGTGTTACAGAAATATTTCTTATTCTCAAAATATAAACAGTTTTGCTGCTTAATATTTTTGTGGAAACCGTGATACGATTCTTTGATGAATGAAAATTTCAAAAGGACAGCATTTATTTAAAATGACATATTTTTAAAACATTGTCACTTTTTATCAATTTAATGCGTCCTTTCTAAATCAAAAATAGTAATTCCTTTTAAAATGAATTTCTCTTTTACCAGATGGGACTGGACCAATCAGGGGTTTCCCAAAAGCATTGTTAGCCAACTATGGTCTCAAGTTCCGTCGTTATCAGCATAGTTCAACGAGTCGGTGTTTCCTAAAACCATAGTTCCACACTGTTAACAATTTTCTTGTATTTTTACAGTACAGTACTGGCAGCAAGGTTGCCAGCAAGGTACTGTATTTCGATTTACAGTAACTGTACTGTAATTCAATTTACAGTACACACGAACAGTACTGTAAACTACAAACCAGTATTGTACTGTATTTTTACTGTATTTTGTCATTTTTGTCTGCTTCTGTTGTAATTTATACGATATTGTACTGTAATATCTATATTGATACATCGTTGCAACGAACATTCGCAAACATCATCGCAAAGTTGTGTGGTTGGAACGACAGCTCTCGACCTGTGGTTATAATGACAGTGGATTGCAACCAACAGATTGAAGCTCAAAAACGGGCATCCATCCATCGTAAACGAACCTCAAATGGCTCCTGTGGGTTAATAAAGGTCTTCTGAAGCAAAACGATGAGTTTGTGTAAGATGGTTCGTTTACGATTGTTGCAATCCACTGCCATTATAAAACTTTTTTTATATTTTTTAATATAGACTAACTGTGATTGTATTCACCTGAAAGAAGAAAGTCATATAGGCTACCTAGAATGTAGGCTAAATCATGGGCTAATTTTAATTTTAAAGTGAACTACTCCTTTAATAAATCCATTTCTTGAGCCAAATAAGCAAGCTGACATTCAGTACAATCAGTATCTTTTATTAGACATACAAATGTCCTTTACGTCTTTTAGTTTGTCAATTGATTTAAATCACCGTTTTTGAAGAGTGCGCATGTGCGAACGTGCTCTAGGCCTACGTAAGAATGAGCCTATGAATCTGGAAATAAAGCAAATAACTGAGAAAAATTTGAAATAGTCCTCAGATGACATGTCTGTAATTTATAGCAAAACATCTTAGATTGCTTAAAAGAAGTTATTGCTCCACCACCTGCGTGACATCATTATCCAACATGGTTGAACGACCAATTTGTGACAATATGGTTTCGGGAGGCTAGTGGATTTCTTCAAAGATGCATCATACAATGGTAGTTACTGTAAGCAGCGAGTTACGTACGTCGCTATACGGGAAACGCACCCCAGTTTGATGAAACATTGGCTGTTTGTTCAACCAATGAGTGTTTGGGAGACCTTTTTGAAAACAATTGTTTGTATTATTTGCAGAAGCACTGCAATTACACACTTCACCTTTATCATTGCTTACAGCTAAATGTAAGAAAATCTGTTCTGAGAGAGTGTCCCTGATATTTTCACCCTTGCTGAGGGAGTTTATGAAATCTGTTTTTGGATAAACAAACAATTCTTACAGAGTATTGGGGGACATGAGGTGACAGATTTGTTGAAACTTCTGGGAGGTCCTGAAAAAGGAGAGAAAGAGAATGAACTGAATTTTGACAGGGGCAATAGTTGTTAAATTCCCTAACATGTGCAAGAGAAGAAGAAAAAAAGAGCAAAGGTCAAAGAAGGGATGACTAACTCTTCATGGTTATATGGTCAGTATGGTGCATATTGCTGAAAGCATGGAAAACACATGCACATATGCAGTGTATATGCTACATATGTTCCCACATTCAGCTAAATGCATTTCACAACTTCACTTTTGAAGTTCCCCTCAATATCACAGTTCATAAAAAGCAGACATTACATTCCAGCGATTTTAGGGGTAAGTCTGCTGATTTGTGTAGGCCTATCTGTTTTAATACGAATTACTTTGTTCTATTGCAACTTAAAAATATTCAAAAACAAGTATAGGCTATATATGAGAGTGATCCTGTAGTGCTATCAAAACATTGCTCTGTTTGTCTGACAGTGTTGTTATTGTTAAAGTCCCCCTGTGGTGAAAATCAAGTTTTTAATGTTGTTTATGTCTATTTGGTGTTTTTAACATGCTTTAAGACAAACCATGTGCAAAGTCATAAGTCAACACCATTGCTAAGTATTTTCTCCTTAAAACTGTCTCAAAAACGCGGATTGAAATCACTGGTGTTTCTAATGTCACTAACTACCTTGTAACCAATCATGACAATGTGCGACCGTAAACGGGTGGATCTCTGAGCCATAGACAGTATAAGAAGTGGACAGAGCCATCTCATTGGAACTCAGTTGAGACAGTTGAAGCCCATTTTTAGCGATTTTTGAGCACTTCCGTTCCTGACGCGCAGACTCAAACCGACTCAAACTAAGCTTGATGACGTGAGCAACCTGTCTGACAGACGTTAATCTTCTAGTAGCTGTGCGTGAAAATTGCCAACGTTAATCTTGCAGAGACGGGGAACTTGAGCAAAGAGTTCTTTGGCGTGAGTGAGCAGGAGTAAGTATTCCGTTGCTTTTATGGACTCATTATCTATGGGCTTCTCCCTTGACGGGACGTCCCCCCGATTGCCTGCGAGCTTCTCCTCCATGTCTGTACGGTAATTTCTGTACAGTGCGACAGAGAGTCGAGTGGTTATGACGCAATCGTTAGCCTATTTTTACAAAAACTGTTTCTACGGGGCCATAATGTAACATAGAAGGTAATGGAGCCCTTTATACATTGTCGTGTTTCTTTAGAAATAAATAATGGACAAATGGAGTCTTTAAACGCCTCAGATGTAAAGTTATTCGCTGTCAAAGTGACGCCAAAATGAATGGTAGTCAATGGAAATGCTAACGCAAGTGAAGTTCTGCTACAAGATGGCGGCACCCGGCCGGCTTCAACTTCCGGTCGATGGATTACCCCCTTGCTCTGAGCTTGTGTGAGTGATTGGAGGCGGGGCTATTTTGCATATTCATAGAACCGCGTATACTAAATGAGGCAAGAGTGTATAGATTCAAGCAATTTGAATGACAT